TGCTCATGCAACAGACTCTGGTTCAGAAGTGAACTGCTTTTTTTAAACATTACATCTAATGTGTGCACAGAGGATATGAATCAGGGAAATGTCACTTTAATCAGAGCATTACGTTTGATTAATGATGTAATTATGGGTGTTAAATAGTGACTGAAGTGTTGTGAGCAGACTGTTCACTTCTGCATCAGCAGGAGATTGTGAAACACCATTAAGGCACTATAGAGGAGCCCCGTCAAAAGAACAACCATATAGGCTGCTACACATTACACCAGTGGCATCTGTGAGATTCAACGCACTACCCCATCAGCCCACAGAGAGGGTCCCGTCACACAGAAACGCACGACCAAATGGGCCTGAACACCCAACATCTACAGTCATCAAAGAAGCCCTTAGCCAGCAGGGGAAATGGCCTGGACCTGATTACTGTCTTCACATCTGATATTACAGCTTCCATACTTGAAGGAAAAGTTATTATATAGATGCCCAGGAGGAAGAAATGGTGGCTGCATTTAATACAAACTGGGTGTTTTATGACATTATAAGTCAGCAGCTTTGAAATGCCTACATTTTCAGCCATGCAGAGTCGAAACTTCTTCAAATCATTTGGTTTCAAAAAACTTTTTCCACAAAATATCTGGTTCGCAAGAAAAAATGTAGACCTAGATGCTGACTTGTTTTCTCATAAATACCTCAATTTGATTCACAAGTTAAGCCAATTCCAAATCTCAGAAATAAATTCAGTCAATGTTAATTATATACCGCTACTTGGATTGTCAGAAAATAAGCAAATGTTTCCAACATCCTCCTTCGGAGAAGAACAGTTTTCACAGCAAAAGCAGGTGAGACTGAAAGACCAAAACAGAAAGTAAGCTGGTTGCCATGGCAGGAAGGAATCCAGTAGTGAGTTTGACGTGTAATTAAACTGTGGGTGCAGACCGGATTGATTCAATTCCTGCTTACGAACTAATCTTTGGGGTGCAGACTGATGGGGAAGTGAACCAGAGGTTACCCCATGATTCGTCCTAGAGCTCCTGTCTGATTTTAGGGGAAGCCCGGGTTTATTGAAGACGTCCAATAGATTTCTTAGGCGCTCCAAAAGAACGACACTGTAATATCCATGGGAAAATCTCAGTAAAAAGATATGGATGCACCATGTGTTTTGCCAGATGAGAAGTTTATCTATGAATCATCTTTTTACTCTGAATTCCTTTTTTTGTAACAGTATCATCTTTATATATTTTAATTCCTTTCATAACCGTTTTAATTGTCCTTGCTTTTATTTTGTGATGATTTTAATTCCTGTGTAAATCACTTTGAATTACCAGTGTTTGAAACATGCGGTGCTATATGTAAATAAACTTGCCTTGACAAAATAGCAACAAAGCAGCAGGGTGCCATCTGCTGGTAGATCTGGGCAAATGTAGAAGACCATGCTCTCTGCAAAACCATGGGTCTAAGATGCTGAAAAGCACTCAAGCAATAAGCAGTTGTGCGCTTTTATCAACTTAATTTATGAAGTTGTTATTTTTTTTTTTTTAATAAAACCATGAAAACGTTTCATATATAGTCAGAAAGACAATATATTTGACATATAGTCAGAAAGAAAAAAGGGACATAAGCTCCCCCAACAAAATTACTGGACTTGCAAAACTTGTTGAACCCCACACCTATTTGTTATTTAGAGACCTTTAAACTCCAAACAGCCAAACTCTGAAGCAAGTGCCAATTGTTTCACATGCTAAACATACACAAGGACTTTCTCATCTCGTACAGGCTGACAGTTGAACATCTCTCTCCAAACCAGTCTAGTCAAGATGAGACATGAAAACTCCAAAGACTGTGCATTTCAATGTGAATCCCATTAACACACACTCATTTCATTCCTCTTTCAGTTGTTAGTCATGAAATATTGCCACTGAGCTGCATTTTTTTCTGTAAAAACGTCAGTTTCACAAATGTGCTGGTCCCAGAAAAACACATTCAGCAGGGAAGTTTTAAAGCTTTTGAACTGTAAACTGAGCAGTGTAGAGAGTAACACATTACAAAAGTAATGCATTACAACAACTTGTTACTTTTTTTGCTCTGATGCAGTTGTGCAAGCCATTACTCATCAGTTTTCCGTAATATTTTACTCCGTACATGTTCAGTAACGCTAGAATTACATCACTTTTAGCCCAAAATTTTACTGTTGGAGAAAAAGAAAAAAAAAGAGACATTAATGAATGAATCATGTTATTACCCGTTCGTGGTTAGTCAATATAACCACGTGTGGTGTCCAAGTTTGTAAATAAAGACTAAATGATAGTCTTTGCTGATATGATAGTCTTTGCTAGAGCTGATATTTGTAGTGATTTTTTTTCATTCTTTCCTCTTGCTGGTGTACCTTTGTATTATGCGATAGTCCAGTGAAAGCGTGTTTAGGACTGGTTTTAGAGGAGTGCCTTTGACTTGGCCTATGCTCACGCTGGCCAGTGGAAAAGCAGCTAATGGGTGAAGAAGATGGCAGAAGACTGTACATTCGCAAGATGGACGCATGCGGATTACTTCAGAGTTTGTCAGAGATAGGACAAGAACGTCAAATTTTAGAATGTTAAGTTATACTTCTGTAGTAATTTGTGAAACATACAGGAGTAAAGTAAGGATTCACAATTCTGAGACAGTAATATTGTAAGGTAAAGAATTACTTGGGATTATACCATGGTCTGGGTGAATACTCGATTCTGATTGGCTGCAGGGTGTCCGTTAAAAAGTGATAGAGGACACCTAGTAAAGTAGTTCTGGTGAAACTGCCTGTTTACCATTCGAAATGAATAAATAAATGCGCTGCCTACAACAGCTGTGAGTAACCATAGCAACAGGCAGTCACATGCTCTATCATCTAAGTAAGGGTTAATGCCCGACAAGGTGTCCATTGTCAGGTTTTAATGGACGACGGCGAGGCGTAAACCGGCCGACGCGCAGCGGAGGACGGTTGCCTCCGCCGAAGTCCATTAAAACCTGACAATGGACACCTCGGAGGGCATTAACCCGCTTATACCATGGTCACTTGCCAAATAAAACATTAGTTTATATTTTAATTAGGCTAAATCTAGTTTTTACAAATAACTTGCCTTGAAAAAAAAAAAAAATAACTTGCCTTGCCTGCCTGACTGTTTATTTAGCAACCGGAGATATAGTCCGCTTAGCTCGTATCCCTTCAGGTTCACAAATGCATTTTTTTTTTCATGAAACACAAAGGTAGGCATAGTTTTTTTTTTATTACACATAAAACAATTAATCAAACAACAATAAAAAAACAATTAGCTCTGATCTCCAGCGATTTGCGCTTAACGTTATAGAGGGCAATAAATTAATCAGATCAAAGAGAGGGTCATTTGCCTCAGGCTCCTTAGGCTTGAAACGCTGTAACGTTCAGCCTTCTCCTGCCTTGGTTGTCTGGACAGCTGCGTAAAACTCCCGCAGGGTCTCATTCAGGGGTGCGTTTCCCGAAAGCATCGTTATCCAACTATGGTCGCAAGTTACGTCGTTACCAATAGAGTTCAATCAATGGAGCAGAGCAGCAGCGGTGTAATTTTCTCCGTTTTATTTACATTTTTTCTTTCTTCAGCAGCATACCAGTCGTCAAAGTTGCCATATTCTCCATAAATGTTAAAAGAAATAGCACGAAGTCGCTCATTGTTGTATTAGGCTATAATATCTAACGTTAGATGATAGAGCATGTGACTGCCTGTTGCTATGGTTACTCACAGCCGTTGTAGGCAGCGCATTTATTTATTCATTTCGAATGGTAAACAGGCAGTTTCACCAGAACTACTTTACTAGGTGTCCTCTATCACTTTTTAACGGACACCCTGCAGCCAATCAGAATCGAGTATTCACCCAGACCATGGTATAACGTTAGATATTATAGCCTAATACAACAATGAGCGACTTCGTGCTATTTCTTTTAACATTTATGGAGAATATGGCAACTTTGACGACTGGTATGCTGCTGAAGAAAGAAAAAATGTAAATAAAACGGAGAAAATTACACCGCTGCTGCTCTGCTCCATTGAACTCTATTGGTAACGACGTAACTTGCGACCATAGTTGGATAACAACGATGCTTTCGGGAAACGCACCCCTGAATGAGACCCTGCGGGAGTTTTACGCAGCTGTCCAGACAACCAAGGCAGGAGAAGGCTGAACGTTACAGCGTTTCAAGCCTAAGGAGCCTGAGGCAAATGACCCTCTCTTTGATCTGATTAATTTATTGCCCTCTATAACGTTAAGCGCAAATCGCTGGAGCTCAGAGCTAATTGTTTTTTATTGTTGTTTGATTAATTGTTTTATGTGTAATAAAAAAAAAAAAAAACTATTCCTACCTTTGTGTTTCATGAAAAAAAAAAATGCATTTGTGAACCTGAAGGGATACGAGCTAAGCGGACTATAGGCTAAATATCTCCGGTTGCTAAATAAACAGTCAGGCAAGGCAAGTTATTATTTGTAAAAACTAGATTTAGCCTAATTAAAATATAAACTAATGTTTTAAAAATGTTTTATTTGGCAAGTGATCATGGTATAAGCGGGTTAATGCCCTCCGAGGTGTCCATTGTCAGGTTTTAATGGACTTCGGCGGAGGCAACCGTCCTCCGCTGCGCGTCGGCCGGTTTACATCTCGCCGTCGTCCATTAAAACCTGACAATGGACACCTCGTCGGGCATTAACCCTTACGTAATAACAGTAACAAGTAATCTATAAATGTATAACAGGTTGGAAAGTAACTTGAAACACTGAAACTGAGTAAATTAGAAAGCCTTTCTAATAGATGTCCATTTGTGTTATGACAGTATCAATTTTAAATATTGTACTACTTCCAGCCAAATGCAAGTGTCAATCACAACACAATTGGCAGAACAATTGTTTTCACTTGCGGTGTGCATCACATCTTGAGATTCTTTTGCTCCCGTGTTAACTGAGAACATAGCGTGTTAAGCATTAAGAAAGCAAAGCACACATACAACTTATCCTCCACTGTTTATTTGTTGGTGACTTTACATGTTTAGAAAAAGAACCCAAGGATTTTTCCTCCTGTGTGTTTCCGTCTGGCCTCCTCGTGGTCCATGATGCCAGCTGAGGTTGTCAAAACAATGAATCTGCAAAGAATAAAAAGAGACAAAAAACATTAGTAGGCTATCCAAGATGGTGCTGCCCTTTGAATACATTTCTCCCCTGGGCAGATGTTTAGATGATTCTGCACTGCATCACTGACATTTGCAAGATCTTAAATGTAAACAAAGCAATGAAAAGGGATCGTTTGTGACAAATTTAGGCAAATTTGGCCAAAACCAACCTTTGGTTGGTCAAGAAGACAATTCAGTTATAAATGAACAAAACAAAAGTTCAAATCAAACATGACTATGAATGGTTGACCAATTCAGATATTTTTTTTTAATGGCTAACATAAGTCAAAAGCCAATATACTGGCATGCTGACATGTAAAAAAAAAAAAAAATTTTTTAACATTCAACATGTTTTTTATTTAGAACTTCAAATGTATAACTCAAATAGTTGGTGTATAGTTTTCGCATTTTCCTCGTAAAGTGCTTAAAAGTGCAAGATGTGTTCTCCTCAGTGCAGAACTTTAATTTCATAGGCATATTCTCTTTCTGTAAATGTTAGAAAGTCTTGCAAATTTCCATTTTGCTGTCAGAAGTGGACAAGCCTTATGTTAGTCTCTGCTAGGACTGAAACGATTCCTCAAGTTACTCGATTACAAAAATTCCTCGAGGCAAAAAATCTGCCTCGAAGCCTCGTTAAATTCCTATGACGAGCACTTAACGCGCATGCAGGGATCTGATTGTTTTACACAGACCGTTATTCAGGAAGCACACCATAGCGCATGATACATTTGACTTCATAAATGTCAGAGAATGTCTAAAGTTTGGGATCATTATATTTTTATAAAGGGAGAGAACAAGATGCAAGGCAGGGCTGCCAACTCTCACGCATTCAGCGTGAGACTTGCGCAATTTGATTTCTCACGCTTAAGTGTCAATCCCTTCGGTCAAATGCCTGAAAGATGAGTTCGTCTATAGATCTACCTGTTGAGCCACTCGTGATCGACTAGTTTTACCGCCGCATATTAATTCTTAAGTTAAAATATCCTGTAATCTAGTGCGAGCGCGCATGCGAGACCAATTGCGGCAATTCATCATATGCTTAAACTTTTATGTAGCCACGCAACAAAAATTTCAGCATACATTCACCGGGACGTGATGGGGGAACAAATATTGTGAGACACACACACTCTGATGTTTGTCTTGAGATTACAGTTGAAAAAGTCTGATTCTTATTTATAATTGTTTTATTTCCATTTTTTTTTTTTTTTATAAATTGTACACATTTGTGTACCTGTTTGGGTTGATATTTTATATTAATTTATTTTAGTTTCCAGGTGAGTAATTTGCAGAAGGTGCAATACTTTTTTTGTAATGTTGTATTAAGACAAAACTAAGGCCAAATGGGCTTTACTATTTAAGTTTGTATTTTAAGTTGTATTCAAAGCCCTAGTCTCTGCTAAACTTCAAACTACAGTGAACGAGCGTCACCACAAGCATACGCACCAAACTGATGAAGCGCAATAGAATTGGAGTCCAAATAAGTGTTTTCTTATGACAACATACATTAGGGGTGCAAAACTGTCCACGTCGTGATGCAGTAATAGACTACTCGATTATAGAGTACTGACGTTTCTCCAGCAGTACTTGTTATCTCTACTCTCGTAATCTCTTCTCCAGTAGCGATTCCTCAAAAACGATTCCACAACAAACCCACGTGTCTGACAAAGACTGATAACACGAAATTTAAAACTGATTGGCTGTTGCATGTTGGTCTATTTTGTAGTCAAAATAAGGAACTACAACCACGAAAAAAAATTAAAAAAAATAATAATAATAATAAAAAACATTCCAAAGCGCTGCGGGAGCATTTCAATGACATTTACATGGACGTAGGAAAATTAAGACCTGTTAAAAATTAATTAAGACCTAGAACACAATACTTCAGCAAATTTAAGACTTAAGGCCTTAAATTGTGATTTTGAAATTTTTGACTTTTTTTTAGACTTTTTAGGACCCCGCGGAAACCCGGTGTTATATAATAACCGTCACACCCAGTAGTGCATATTTACATACATGACCATTTGAAACATTGTGTTTTTTTATACACAGCAAAATTAGCATGTATTTGACAAATTTCTAAACTGTCAGCAAGCCGACCATCTAGATAGCACGGAAAATGTTTAAACGCTTATCAACAAATGTCACCACATCAATATTTCCCTAAGAAATAGGCAAGAATGAAACTGATGTCCTTCGTGATTACTGTTCTTTCCTACACATTGCATTGAACTTGAACTCAATCATGACTTCACATGCCATCAGAAATGTTCTACTTGTCACTTCAGAAGGCAGCACAAGTCTGCTCTGATGCAAATGAAAGTCACAGAGCCTGATACTAGGTTATTATTATACTGTATTAAATTTATAGCTCAAGTTTACTTTGTGAAAACTACATTCAATTATCTTAAAAATCAAATCATCAGGGAAAAGTTCAAATGCTGCAACTAAGAATAACAATATTAATGTGACAGCGCAAAAAAGGGAATAGTTTTCATCTACCATTTTGATATTTCATAAATCTATGCCTCACTACATTTGGATTTAACAAACAGACCAGTTTGTCAGATATTCAAATTCAAGGATTATTAACCAAAGTTACGAATTTAATTTGAGTGCAAAAATGGAATAAAGCATTAAAACATTTGCAAATAAAGCACCAAAGTTTCCATACAGCGAGTCGAAGAGTGCAAAATCGTCACTTTGATAAACTGGTGCTAAATATCACTAAGACAAATGGAAGGTGCTGATATAGTTGCCAATTAATTTCATTTAGCCTATCATTTTCTTTATTACCTGCGCCTCAGAGTGCACGGATGAAACAAATGTGGTCATGTTGGTCTTGATGCAGGTCATTATGCCGAACCACTTAGACGAATTTACTCAAGACATTTCAGAACTAAAACAGCATTTGAGATTGGTCCACTGGCTGATCCAGTTATGCCATCCCACTGCAGTCACATAACATTTGATGCATATTGGATTTATTTTGTAGATGTTTTCATTGTAGTTTATGCAAATGATTTCTTGTTGAATAATTTATCCGACTCAATTTCACAAACGTCTTTTATGCACATAAAATTAAGTGGATGGACACAGCCTAAAGCTAATATAAAACAGTAAAATGCTAAAAAGAAAAAAAAACTAAGCATTTACTCACCCAAACTGTCTGGATGGGAGAAGGTTGTTCTGCCACTTCTCCAAATCCTTCAACTGCACATCGAACCGAGGGCTGATAACGCCACACTGCATTACAGATAAAAAGTACTATAACTCCTACTTCATTTACATAAAACACCAGTAGCAAGAGGTAGAGGGCATCAGTAAGTAAAATGAACCCACTTTTGTGATCGAGAACCTTCAGAACTAATTCAATGAGGCTCGTCATTATATAAAAATCTCTTTTAAATTTTAAAACCAGCTGTGGGATCTTATACCATATTGCTTAAATAAAGTAACCGTGACAACGCAAAATACACATTTACCTAGTTGCGGCCCATTTCATTTGGCAGAACCCATTGACATAGTGCCTACATGTCAGGGACTATAACGTCTTAGAGAAAGAGGCAATTCAATTCACATAAAATTTACGAAAAATTACTTTAATACTTTCAATTGATTTAATAGAACCAATAAGTAGGGTTGGTTACTGAACTCTGTACTTTTAAAGGCACTGACCAAATTACATTGGTACTACCGAGTCACATTAAATCAATCAGTGCCAAATTTCAGTACCTGAGAACATATCTGGGCGAGAGAATAAGAGTATTTAAATACGAATCCTGCATGTTCTGCGTGTCTCTGTGTGATTGAATGGCGCAGACATGCCATTTCATTTAACACACATACACTGAAGCAAGCTCGGCTGTTTTCAGCCTCTGCAATCTCACAATATGGATGCATGAAAATCTCCAGAGACACTCAGCATCTTACGGTTTCATTTAAGAAAAACTATCGTCATATAAAACACACGGAAACTCAACGGTCTTCACAGCAACCATTTCATGGGATTTTTTCTATTAATAAATTGGTTGTTTTTATGAATATACAAACATCACATACAATGGCAGACAGCAACCAAGGCAGCTCTGGCATGGTGTCAATAACACTTCCATAAGTGTAAAGAAACAGTTATTTATAGAAGTAAACATGCCTAAAGTGCCAAAAAAAAAAAAAAGGTACTGCTGGGTACCAGCACCGAATTTCATGTACCTGTTAACGGTACCAGTAGATGGTGATACTCCACGCAAGTTGTTAATAAACATCCAACACAGTACAAGTCTCTCATACTTAATGGTGTAATTCTAGACTTTTTTTGTGACCATGTAGTGAAGGTTTATTAAACCACACTTACCTTGTTCAGCCTCCCTGTGAGATTGACAACAATTTTCCCGGCTCTGTGATCATCAATGATCTCAAATTCTCCAATGTAACCTGCAAAGATCACAACCAGCTTGAACAGCTTGTTTCATGAGATATAACATCATAATCTACTTTACAAGACACTGAAAGGAAAGACACATGAATTCACTCACCATGCTTCATCATCACAGTAAGAAAGCGCACTATAACTTTAGAGCAGGGCCTGATGAGAACCTGGCGTTTCCCACGTTTCTCAGCATTGTTGATGCTTTTCAGCGCATCAGCGAGAACGTTCATGCGCACCATGATGCCTGTGGAGACCAAAAAAGAAGTGTCATTTATCCGATATTTAGTTAATGTATCCATTAGCCGCATAGCCACAGTCACAAGCCAAACTTCTACTTTAAAAACCAGTTACACATTGACAAAGCAGATTAAAGAAAAAACGACCATTTTCGGTTCGTTATATAGTTAAGTTATACGAATACCGTATGCAATTTTCTCCGACACTATGCATAACGCTTTGGTAGTGGGTGAATTAGCTAGCAAATTACGCTACCTTGGTTTGAATTCACAATAAACCTTTCTACTTATGTAAAGCATATATTTGTGATTAGAAACAAGGCATCGGACTGCTTGAGGACTTTGGTTTGACTTGGGTTATTGGTGTCTGTCCCCCAGAAACATGGGCAGATGCGCTACTGAATGGTGGAGGACGGCGAATCATGAATATCTGGGAAATATATGCGTTTATATTGCCATGATTGACCAAATGACTCAAAAACCTGGCTTTTAGGCTGCTCATAAACACATATTTCAGTCTAGCTGTTGCTGATACACACCGATGTCCGTGATTTTAAACAGATTATTCAAGCATTGAAGGAATCCTGAACCTTACCAGTTCTGCAATATGGCGGAAAGAGGAAGGAAGAGAGGCGCGCGGTGCAATTTGGGAAAACATGTACTCTCGCGAGAGCACAAAAGGACTGTCTAAACGGTACTGCCCCCTAACTGTTTGGAGAGCCTCTTTGACATACGCGTTAACTGAACCGAATATTTTCATAATTTTCTTGTTTTTTATCATCTCCCAAATTTGTAGTCTTCTTGAAGGAATTTAAACTGTATATAAAATCCTTAAAAACTTTGAAAGGTCCTAAGGCACAAAAAACATATGATACCCTAAAACTCTTCCCAACTGAGATTAATGGATGAACAAAGACTGCATTCACCCCTTATTTGTCTTGTATGTTATATCATAATTGTTACCATTTATTTATTTATTCTTTATGTTTATTTTCCTTACAAATATCCTTTTTTGTACTTGGATTTATTTTCGTGTTTTATTAAGTGCTGCTCCCTCTGGCTAAATTTTCTTTGTACTCTAATAAGAAAAGAAAGTTATGCAGCCATGTTTGTTTGTAAATCTTGAGATTGCAATAAAAAATTTTTTTAAAAAAAAATAATATTAATAATAATTTTCTTGTTTGCTTTTTCTCTTCATAGTCAACACTTACTGCAATCTAATCTAAAGACTAGTATTCAGCTTTTTTTTAGAAAATGGTCTGTACTATTAATGTTCTGCTAACTAAGCGTCTTAATACAGATCAAAAATTTACACCTTTTTACACCAGAATGTGCAAAATGTTAATAATTTTAACAAGAGGGATCATACTAAATCCATATTATTTTATTTAGTACTGTCCTGGATAAGATTTTTACTTAAAAGGTGTTTATATATAGTCCACAACACAAAAAATAGCTGAATTTATTAAAAATGACCCATGTTTTTACATGCCCTTAATTCTTAAAGCTATGTGTCGTTCCATTATTCATGGCTGTTTTTTTATTTTTTTTTTATGGCTACTTCCAACAGGATAATGCACCTTGTCACAAATCTCAAATAATTTCAAATTGGTTTCTTGAGCATGACTGTTCTAGACATGAGTTCACTGTACTAAAATGGCCCCCACAGTCACCAGATCGCAACCTAATGGCATCGTTGGGATGTGGGGAACGGGCTCATCATGCCCTGGATGTGTATTCCACAAATATCCATCAACTGCAAGACGCTATCCTACCATCAATATAGGCCAACATTTCTAAATAATGCAAGGGGAAAGGGGGTCTAACACACTATTAGTATGGTGTTCCTAATAATCATTTAGGTGAGTGTATATGAATTTAAAAAATGCCCATGAAAATAAATAGTTACCCTTCTGAATTTGACAAATTGATTGCAGCAATACTTTAAATGTTATTTATTTTTTGCCCTGACATTTTCTATGGTCCTATTTTCCCACCATCTACTAGAGGTTGGAAAAACAAAACAAAGAATAAAAACAGACCAAACATAATTCATGCACATTGTTTATTCTGTTGGTATAGATAATTTCAAATAATACTTTATAATCTCAACAGACTGTGCTTTTATTTTGTATAGCAGTGCAAAAGCTTAAAGGTAAAAAAAAATGTTAATGAGTAAGCATTGTTTGTGCCATACACTCTTTGATAGAAGGCTTTAAGTGCCACAGAGTAGACCACAAATCTGTCTTGTCAGAGTCTATGGTGCATGTCCATTTTGCTGGTTCTTCAGTAAGAGATCCATGTAAGCGCCATCGATCAGATCATCCTGCTTCACTCCAAGCTCCAGCATTAGCTGGTTTGCGATGGTCACTCCTTCTTCTCTGCTCTGGTGTTCTTTCATCACCACCTCAAGCTCCATGAAGTCCCCCAGGCCCTCTACAGAATCAACATGCACCCTGGTCTGCCCCACCATGTACAGCCTCCTCTCCTTCTTCACCTGCCCCACTTGCCCCAGTGCATCCGTCAGAACCTTGACAAGCCCCTGTGGGTCGCTGGTAGGGGTTATGGAGTAGTTGGACAGCTTGGGTCCTTCTGTATCTGGCCTCTCATAGAAGATCAACTGTCCTGTCCCATCCTGGAAGTCCCTGAGTTTCAGCCGTCCTGCAGGCACTTTGAAAAACGTGTCCTGCTGACGGATCACAGTCCCATCTGTACCGCTCAGCTCCTTTGCACGCTGCGTGAGGTAACGCAGGTCACGCAAAACTGCTTTTATTTCTACATTTGACGGCATGTTCACAAAAAATGCTTTTAACAATAGCAGTGCGCTCAGAAGATCCAGAAGCTCTTATTGCTTTGGCGCGCTTACCCACACAACCTTAAAGCGCATGTGTGGTAGTTGGTGACGCTATTGATTCCTCCAAGTGATTCGAGTCTTTTGAATCAGTTCACGAAAAATAACAAATCCGGAACATTATGTCACAGTAGATTCCTCCATTTGGTCAGGCTTGGGAACTATAAAAAAAGACAATAATAATAGCCTAAATAAAATTAATTATGTGGTCATCAGTAGTCATTCTTCCCTTCCATTTCTCACCTTGTTACATTAATAAGATAGACCAAATAAACATAAATTGATCCGAAAATGAACACGTTTTGTTCATTGGATGAGCGTATATGTTAACTATGTTCATAAAATTATATGTTTTGTGCTATAATCAGTCTTTGAAGGTAGGATGAAAATATGAGCTCAGAAGGTGACGTGAACGATTCATTCATTTACAAGATTCATCCAAAAAACGCCACTACTGCGCATGCGTTCACAAGTAGAGCTTTTCACTGCTGTGTCTGAAGTCAAATGTCGCGTAGAACACAAATGGATTTCTAAACAAAATATTTACACGGCTTTAATGCATTGACATATTTAGGACAGCTGTCATTTTTTAGCTATCGGAATAGCACGTAATCCGTAGTGTCGCTAGTGTTCTTGCTTTGCCTGTAATATGTTTACATCCCAGACCTCTTCCTTCCAGGAGTCCATAGACGTGGATGAAAGGGATGTAGACTTCGACAACGAAGAGATCGCCGGATTCAGCCAGAAGATACAACAGATTAATTGCTACTATGCAATATACTACTACCAAAACACAAGGTACAGTGGTTTTACTTACTAACATTCGTCATGAGATAGTGATTTTGTGTCTGGTGTTCCAACTGCAGAATGCTTTGCAAAATGCTACTTTGTTTTAGAAATATTTTGTCCTTTTATGCCTCATATTAAAGAGTATTTGAGATTTATGCATTTGTTGTTTGCTTCTTTTCTACGCGTATGAGTTAAAATTCCCTATTTTTGTGCTTATGAATTAAGAGTTGAATGACATGAGAGCAATGTTTTACATTGGCAGCATAGTTCATAATCGTGAGTTAGTCTTATGAAGTCATATGACTGTATGGATGAGTTATACACAGTAAGACATTGTAAAACACCACACATGAACATGTAGGCCATTTATAACCTGGGAGGTCTCAACATAATGCTTATGAAGTATTAAATGCATTATCAAACTACCCAGATCTGAGGCTTCTGGAGAGAGTGTGGCCTGGAGCCAGAGGAGATCAGACTCAACAACAAGTCAGGATGACTTTAGGTAAAGAGGGGTCCGTCATCTCTCAGTCATCGCAGTCCAGTGGCTTTCAATGTTGTGGTGGAAGAAAAATCATGGCTTTAGTCAAAAAATGCACACAGGATTTTGTGCCTTGCTTTTCATCATGTTGACTTGCTCATCTCATTCATAACCATTGAACTAATCTGTCTAGCGGCTTTGTCTGTCCGCTTGTTCACTTTGCCTTTCCTTGTTGATGTTATAGTTTTTTCAAATTTTTTACACACCTTTTTTCACTCTTAAAGTCTCACCCTGCTGGATGACAGCTTGCCATCCAATGCGGAACCAGAACTACGAAGCTACATCTCCCGCAGGCTGAGCAAGGGCGCTTTGCTGGGGGGTATGGGTAACATTGCCACCGTGGAACTAAGGTACATCGTATCAGTGTTGTTATTGTTCACTAACACTGTAAAAAAAAAAATTTAATTAAAGCTGCAATCCATAGCTTTTTTGGGGGATAAAACATTATCCAAAACACATATTTGATAAAATGCATAACCAGCCAGTGTTCAAAACTTTCTGCTTGCCATAGCTCAACTCAAAGCGGTAAGCTTGTAATAATGTTTTTAATTCCAGTCGTACTGGTGGATTTCCACGGGAGATTCAAGCATGTCTTTGCATCATTACGTCTCATCTGTACATATAAAGAAGGAGTCTCGGCTAGTATGAGCTATAATGCGAGGTTGTGAGGCTGCTGGACTGTAACCGGACCATGCTAAAACAAGGATACATATTGGAAGGACATTTTGTCCTTGACGTTACGCAATGCTGATGTTGTCAACATTAAGAATTTGAGAACAAAGTATAATTTGCACGGTTTTGCGTGATATTATTACTTATAATAATCTGTGATTCTGAATGCCAGTATCCACACCGGCGCGGTGACTGACAGCCGCACACTCTCCTCAAACATTGTGTTCATCCGCGCTGTGCCGTGTCGATGGTGTTGAAGTACAACTCACATAAAGTTGATAATTCCGTTTCCGTGAATGACTGCAATTGCAGATTTCAAACAGAGATGGCGACAAAGAGGAAAAACGCCAGACTGCAGCTTTAATTGTAATGAAGCTGAAATAAAATATATGTTAAACTTTAACTTTTAAAACGTAGAAATGTTAAATTAATTTGAAATGAAAATTAGAAATATTTCTTTGGCAACTAACTGAAATAAGATGAAGTACTAAAATTACTAGATTTTAATTATCCCTCATTGCACAAATAAATATCCAGAACCATACCCCATTGTCATTTAGTATATCGCCATGTATTTTCTTTCTTAACTGAATTAATGATTGTTGGTCTTCAAGCATCCCTGAGCAAGCGGTGGGCTGTTACTGCTGTCTTCTGGAGCAAGAGAAATCTCCGGAACAGCCTGAGGCCGATGGCAACGGCTGGGTGGTGTGTCTTCTCGGAGGATCAGAGAAGGGCCTGAATCTATATCCTCAAATCAAAAATGACTGACCATGGCATGAAGTAGCCATGAAACAGAAGTTTTAATAGTCTTTTCTTTTCCATTGTTCCGTATATCCAAGTGAAACGGCTTCTCGAACAAGTAGAACAATTTGGAATTGATTGTATGGTTGTAGTTTGCTATGATGCCATGTGATTGTCCTGTCCTTGCGCCAGTAAACACAGAGAAGAGGTGGCACTGTAATTTGAGGGAGGGGAAGTTGTTTTGATTACAGATTATGAGGGCACATGAATAAAATTAAAAAAGGATATGCATGCACAGATAAATCATTTATATTAACAAACTGCGATGTTCCATAAAAAGAACTGTACATTTTAATTTCATGGTGACTTTAAACTGAAGAAAGAAAAACAGCATTGTGCAATGAAGTTTTACGATTGCATTCAAATACTGTTTTCTCTTAATAGAATAATTTATGTTACTTAACCATACAAACATTCAGAATTGAGCTGGACAAGTACGTCCAGGGTCTGCAGGGCTGTTTGACTCCAGAGGTGAGTGTCAACAATGTTGAAATTGGTCTATTTTGTTGAAACACTGCACACTGCCTTTGATATTCATTTGCTGTAAAAATCATTGGGAACCTCTTGTTACAGATGCTTAACTTGGAGACAGATGTCAGGCCCTACCTGAACCAGTGGTATGAAGAGTCAGTAATGCACATTCACAGAGTGGTTCATCTGTTGCAGGGGAACGTCGGGTACCTTCTGCATGCTGTAAGAAACCACTGCTGTCTAGATCATACACACTTTACATCTGAAAACAATAATATACTGTATTAAATAAACGTAACATCACATCTCTGCAATAGGCTTTGAGTCACAAGCTCGTAGAGGTCACGGGGACGGATGAGAAGACAGAAGCAGATGTAGCAAGGTATGGAGAACAAAGTTCTTTTTATGCAGTACTCTTGCAGTTTAATTACTGATAGTTACTGCAGCTTGATCAATTGTGTTGATTAGATTCATCAAAGCAGCAAGCCTGCAGGGTCTAGTCCAGGAAGACACCACTACAGCCTCCCTCTGTAAGGCCATGTCAGAGGACTCTCACACCAAACTGATCATCAACTTCTCAACCAGCCCTCCCACACTAACCAATGAAGGTCAGCAGGAGCATCGTCATCATAAGCCACTCAATCTACAGGCTTTCTCCTTTCATGTTATTTTGGTAATGTTGTGTTGTTATTTTAACCTCTGCAGTCAGTAACCGGTTCTGTGACGACTGGATCCAAGCCTTCCTCAATGCTTCTGAGCGCTTTAACCCTTTCCTCCTCCGTCAGATCCTGGAGAACTTTAAACTTAAGGTTAATGTGGTGTTCACTCATTTATGTTTGCTCAATGTACTTGATTAAAATGTAATAATACATATTTATTAACAAATTCATAATACAGAAGTTTATTTAAAATACATTTGTGTTAGGAGCACATCAATAATTTTCAATGGCTTTAACAAAAAATTGCTGAAAAGGTTAGACTTAGCATGCTAACATGCTATTGGTTGCAAATAGTTAAAGGGATAGTCCACCCAAATTGATAATTCTGTCATCATATACGCACCCTCATGTCATTCCAAAACCTTTCTTCTCCTGAACACAAAAGAAAATATTTTGAAGAATGTTGATAACAAAACCTCAGTTCCCATTGAAACTTTTTTTTTTTTGTCCGGTGGTGGTATCCAAAACCGTCTGGTAACCAACTTTTCTTCAAAATATCTTTAGTGTTCCCCGGACGAAAGGAAGTCATATACAGGGTGAGTAAATGACAGAATTTTTTGGGGGGGACTATCCCTTTAAATGCAGGAGATTTATTTGAGTTATTCTAACTTGATTTGGGTCAAAGAATAGTTTTTAAATGATACATCGCTAACCGTAACACTCTTCTGGTATTGTTCCGTCTCAATTGAAAACTGCTGTGATAACTCCTATAGTTAAGAAACTGGGGGCTGAATCAAGTAACTTTGATTATTTTCCCATTTCATTCAATTTTTTTTCCCAACTATTTTGAAATTTCAACTATTGGAAAGGTTTGTAGCAGCCCAAGTCCATAATCATCTTTCTCAAAATGGACTGTGGAAGCAATTTCAATCTGGTTTTCGTCCTTTCATAGTGTTGATGCCGCATTAGTTAAGATCTTTAATGACTTATTGTTTGCTGCTGACCCAGGACTTTTATCTATATTAATTCTGCTCGATTTAAGTTCAGCATTTGATACTATCTCACTCAGCATTTTGTTAGACAGATTGGAGTCTGTTGGAATTATTGGTACCCCCTTGACTTGGTTTTGATCGTACTTTACGGGTCATTCTTGATTTGTACAGTTGAAGCAGTTTAGCTCAAAGACTTTGTATGTGAATACAGGTGTCCCACAGGGCTCAGTATTGGGTCCTCTTTTATTTATTATTTATCTTTTACCCTTTGGTAATATTTTTAGAAAATTTAGTATTTAATTTCACTGCCTATGACACCCAACTTTACCTGTCCTCCAAACCTTCCTCTGTTCTTTCAGATTGTTTAGCAGATATTAAAGAATGGTTTACTTCAAATCTTAAACTTAACCACGTTAAGTTAGCCACGTTCATCTGTGCATATTGACAACTTACCAGTGTCTGTATCTTAACAAGGTAAAAGTCTGAGGGTCATCCTTGACAGTACTCTCTCATTCGAAGCAAACATAAACAGTATAATTCGCAGTGTTTCCGCTACATTCATTCTCCCGTGGCGGGCCGCCACACTTAAAATCCTCCCGCCACGGCTGCAGCTTCTCAGTGACGTCCGATATTCTGCATAGTATTGTGTTATTTTGTTAAGCCCCACTAATGGCATAAAAAACTTTGTAAAGCACAATCAAGTTTTCACCCTATATTCCAAGACTTCTAAAGTCATTGCATAATGTGTAATTTTAGTCGCTAAGTTAAAGTTAACGGAAAAGTCATCTTGCCTCAGTCATTCTCCATTCAGCATTCACACAGCGTGTCGCGTTCGTTTGCGACAGTAACACGACGACACTCTCTTCAAGATCAATATTCCAATTATTATAGGCCTACTTTGTTTGTAGATAAAGCATAAAGGTCTATGGTTTGCATAAAATGACTTTATCTTGCTGAAGTGGAGTTTATTGCCCTTTCTAAATCATATTCCCTTCTCCCGGGTCAGGTGTATGTGAGATTACAGCATGGAGTCGAGAGAGTGCTATTGTTCTTCATGCGCACTGAAATTTAAAACTGTTAAAAGAAAAGGCTCAAAAAACTGTTGCATATAGAATACACTAAGCATTAGTGCTGCACGATTAATCATATCGCAATCGTAATAGCGATCTCAAACCTATGCAATTATATAACGCAAAATGCCGCGATTTTATATGAAATAAACAAATTAGGGCTATTAACGCAGCATCTCTTCTTTTTTGTCATCCTTTGACTAGTGTTACACGATCCCGCTCTTATTCGTGCAAATGCCTTTTCGCATTTTGCACGACAAGAAGTGAAAAGCTGAATGCCCTAAATGAGACTCGCAGAGAGACGCGCGCCATAATGCGCATGCACTGACCGCGTGCCACAATACAGTTCTCTTTCGAGCTTGAACGAACAATAACACACACAATTATGCCAAAATGTCGTTTTGTCGAATATCTTCATAACATAAGAAAAGTCTTATGGACGAAAAGAGTTGTGCTATGAGCCGCATGTGAGATCCGCGTCTCGGCAACGGGTTCTCTTAAAGGGCCAGCAGCGAATAAAGCGTTCTGTCAGTAAAGTTAAAAGAACAAAGGGAAATTAGAAAATTACTCACTGATCTTGACTAAAGAACTTTTGTAGCTTTAATAAGGATTATTCTATATAATTTATAATTCATGCAGCGCAGACTGTTTGATAACTTTATTCAATTTCTGTATCCTACCTGTTAAGATGGATATTATGGGTTTATGTGGGGATTGTTTAAAGTTCACTTAATTTAAAAGCTGTTGTATTTTTTTAAGCCTAATAATGTTTTTTTTTTTTTAAGTTGATAGCTTTCAATTATAATGGAATCACTGTAATGTTGGTTTGGTTGATGGTTTATTGATCAGGTGTTATCAATCATTTAGTTGTTGTTTTTAGTTTGATTTGAGAAATAAACATTAATCTGTGTGTGCATTTTACTTTAGAACCAAGCAAGTTGGACTCATGAAACCATTTTATTATATCGGAATCGCATATCACAACTGCAATATTGACCTCAATAATGGCAATGACATTTACCCCAAATCGTCCAGCCCTACTAAGCATAGATTATAGATATAATCCCTTCGCTATGTTCTTTTCAATGTGAGGCGTTGCTGCTGTGACTTGGTGTTGCTTCAAGTGCATCATTCTGCACACGGGATGCGCATGATCGATTATAATACTTTGGGGAGACAAGGGGGCGTAGCCTATGGGAATATCACTCGTGATATTTATGGAGCCTTATTTATGGAGCCTGCTGCCACAAGATGTGTGAAACAGTGAAAGTCTTTGTGTTTTAAATCTCACCTTAAGACCCATATTTTTCTGCAGGCTTTTCATTTTTAAACTGGTATCCGGGCTATAATAATGAGTATTTGTTTATTGTTAATTGTTTTGTGTTTTTAAGGTGTCCTGTAAAAAAGTGTCATGTAAGGAGCCTTTAAATAAAATGCATAATAATAAAAAAGTACTGTATAAACTTAAATTTAAAAAGTATAAAGTATTAACTAATAATAATTACTAATCAGCTAAATTATTAAATTGACAAAAAAATCCAACCTGATTTAAGAGTGATCCTATTCAGAAATGGTAATCACATCATTATGGCTGTCCTCAACGTGCACATTCTTTCTCTATGCAGGCCATCCAAGACATGAACAACTTGAAGCGCTTCATCCGTCAGGCTGAAATGAGCCACTACGCTCTGTTCCGCTGCTGTCTGTTCCTGCAAAGCTGTGGAAACGGGGATGTGCTGCTGCAGAACGCACGTGCCGAGCACAGCAGCTTTCCCGAGGCCTGTGGAATCATAAACGTGCTGGAGGAGTTCCTCGGTGAGGAGGCGCAGGGCACGTTGTACTGACACCTTCCCGTCTGCAGGGGGCACAGTGTTTCATACACTTAGAGCACCTTGAAAGGAGTTACCCCTGAATTGGCTTTATGCACTGCTGCACTACTTCCTGAACTTAAGCCAGCTCCTTTGTTTCCTGTCTCCCATTATTAGACAAATTGATTAGTTCAGGTGTGCCTAACCTCAGTAGTCACAGCAACAATAATCAGACACACCTGAATTAATCAAGCTTGGCCAATAATGGCAGACAGGAAACAAAGGAGCTGGCTTAAGTTCAGGAAGTAGTGCAGCTGTGCATAAAGCCAATTGCTATTCAGCCCCCATAATCATAGCAGTGTGGTCTGCATTTTGGGCACTCACTCTAACACTAAATATAGTCCATCTTTTTTTGTGTTTTGAGGTTCAACAGCAATATTTAAAAAGGATTTTGCTATGATGTGATTCTGTATGTTGTTGTGGGTGCTTAAAAATTATAATCTGAATAGACCCAATAAAATGGGCTACAAATCAATGTGATTAAGCTTTGTTTAAATGATTCTTCTTAATAATGTGTATAATGTTAACACACCAGTGTTTTAATGTGATTCTAAGTTGTAGTCTCAGCTGTGAAGCAGTCATTGTTTAGATTCTAAAAACAAGTGTTCAGCAGACTGCACTATACATTATATAATCATGAAGCTCTCCACAAGCTAATAGCCTATTATCACTCCACTCCATTTCAGTAGAAAAAATGACATTGACCTGCATAATGAATTGCCTGTTTTATAATTTTATTTTTAGGTAAGTGTATACTTTGATGGTTTTGATAATCCTTTTTGTTCTTGTTTGCTATTTCAAAACTTCTGATAATCATAAATTCAGAAATCAGATGTAAATAGAATTGTTGAAAATAACAGGTTTAAAAACATAATATACCTTAATTATTATATATATATATATATATATATATATATATATATAGGTGACAGATGTAAGTAGCAGTAATGTGTATAATTATGTGTGGTTCAGATTTGACATGGCTGTACTGTGAAAAAATTGTGTTGTGGAAAAAAGAAGGTTCCAAGAACATTTCATTTGTGTTAATTTGTAAATTAAAGAAATGTATAACACTGTGGATTGAGTTACTGTAACTCTTTTTACCTGCCATTGACGGAATTTTCCTATATGGGGAGGCTGCAGACCTGGAGCCGGTATACAACCCTGGCAGTTTTAAGCCCCTGTTGTTCTTAATGCGTCCATTAGGAAGATAGACTGCGAAATAACATAATTAAATCAACGCTTACCGATTAATAACCCGTCCACATAGACTTGACAATTTTGTGTTTTTTGTTCATTTAAATATAAAGGTTACAGTGTAGATCTACACGGATTAAAATATTCTATACTCATATAAACTGAGTAGGCTATAATATCATATAGGCTACTCAGTTGGGCTTCACTCACCCTACAGACTATAAGTTTTGTGAATTGAAAAATTAAAAATACACATAGGATCAACTTACGACAAGTAATGATGACCTACTGCAGTCGGTCTATTCACCATATGGTTTTATATACAAGAGACTGGGTAAAATATGTTGTTGTAAATTTACATGAAGTTACATTTAGATATTAACCAAATTTAACCCAATAGACAACCGTGTACAGGATTTCCGCGGGGCATTAAAAAGCATACGCTGAGGATTTCACGCAGCCGCCATTATGAAATCGAAAGCGAGGCTCCGGTGGGGAAGAACCCCAGAAGTACAGATAAACAACAATGCCTTGGACTACCCATAGACAGTAAAAGAAAGGGACTACCCTATGGGACTACCCACTACCGCTACCAACCTGAAGCTGCTGCAGCAATGGACGAGTTTCCATTGTGTGTATTTTCAATTTGCGCATTTTGAAGGGTTATGGACACGCGGCTATAATGACACCATTAAATGAGAACTGAACTGAGCTGGATGAAGACATCAGAGTGGCTATATAGATTAATTAACTGAAATAATAACTTTTTTACAACAGAAATGATTCAACCCTGAACTATACTGAAGCTGAATTACGACACTGTTTTGTTCTAAATATGCAGGGGGCTATGAAACGTTTGTGAAAAAGATCAAAAATGCTGGCAGTGGTAGGCAACTTTTTTTCAAAAAACGCTGGCAGGGAAGGGTTAACAGCATGACTCTGGTTAACAGTTGACCTTGATACTTAAATTCATTCAAGAATTTAAACAACACACTGTAAATTGATGGAGGAAAAGCTGTAGTTTTTAATACTTTTTTAAATCTAACTGCTTTAACTTCAAGCACCTCATACAGAATGGAATAGGCAGAGAAAAAAATCACAAGCTGTTTTATTTGATTAGTTGGTAGGAACCAATTGTAGATTGTTGTAGAATGTTATGTTATGTCATTGGTAATTTAAAAGGACTTCAGCGGGACACATTAAGTAGGAGTCAACAATAATTTAATACCACACGTTTAATGTATCAGGATTAAAACACATAATTGCAAACTGGAACTACTGTATTCAACATGGTAAATATGATCTGTAAGTTTTGTAATGCAATATCAGGCATATTTCTAAAACAGTTTCTAAAGTTTATTTGTATTATATATATATGTGTGTGTGTGTGTGTGTGTGTGTGTGTGTGTGTGTGTGTGTGTGTATTGATTTCATTGAAAGTCACCACCCAAAAAAATGTATATACTGTATTGTTGCATCACTAAAGAGATGAGAAAACCATGCCTCAAAAAATATAGGATTATAGAATTACGATAGCATGGTTAAATACAATCACACTTTAAAACATTATTTACTAAACACAACATCACTGCTATTTTTGATTTCCAGCCAAAATAAAATTAGAAATAAAGATTATTTATTCATCATTCAACAATATTTCCTTAAAACAGGTTTATGAGACACAAATGTCAAAAAGAACAAAATTTATATAAGAATGCAGCTGCATATTCTACATATATTTCATATCATTAAGCTCCCTTACAGTGATTTGAATATATATGGTTTCACTCTGCTACCTTGATGTCAAAAGCTACTACTCCATGAAGAGAAAACCCAAGGTAGAAGGTCACATTCTCATTTGAACTTGGCAAGGAGGCATTAAAAAGTGGAATGACTCTGATGTTGCTTTGATCAGATACCCGAACAAACAGATTTCCACTGTCGGTGTATCCAGTTACCCGTTTAAGCACTTTAACAACATCTGGGTTAGTCCAGACTTCACCGCCTTTCCACTTGAGGCGTCTCTCACTGAGGGTACCCTTGCAGAATTTTTCAATTGTGCTCTTGTGCACAATTTTATTTAGACCCCTTGCTTTTCCGAGGAGGAAGTGGGTGAAAATCCTTCCTTTTCTTGAGGCAGCAGATTTAATCTCAGAATATCTGTGAAGCGTTTTTATTACATTCGTGGCAATGTTGCTTCTTGGATCCTCAGGCCAAAATAACAGTGAAAGGAGCAAATATGTAGTATCTGGTAAGGCAGTTCTCTTTTCACTGCAAAACTGCCTACTGAGATCTTGAAGTTCTTCAATGGCAAGAATTTTTCCAGAGCCAGGTGAAGCACAGGAGAGCGCTATCTGACAGAAGATGAAGTTTATGAGCTCCGTTTGGTCAAGATCCCTTTTCAGGTTAGCTGGGAAAAGGCTAATTATTTCCTCAAGTTTTTCTCCAGCTCTTTGTTTCTTCTTATCAGAGAGCAGGTAAAGAATTGTTGTAACGTTACCACCTCCGAGTTGGAAAGACTTCATTTGTCTCATTAATGGGGTAACTGTGTTTGTATCAGAAGCCCCAATGTCAGCAATGTCACATGAGATGAACAACTTGGCATACACAGCACTTTTCCTGAGGAGCCATTTTCTTGGATTATTTACCGTTTCAGGCTCTCCTTCATCAAACTCCTCCTCATCTTCAGAACTGTAATTCTGAAAGCGAGCAAGATCCTCCGAAATACATTCCAGGGCATTTCTAATGCTATCTTTCATTCCTTTTAAAAGGCCATGAAACTTCTGCCAAGTTTTCTCTACTTCCTTTGGTATGTAGTCAGTGAGCAGGTAATTCATCAACTTCCTCTTTCCCTCTGAAGTAGAAAAAATGTCAACATATGACAGGAGCTCAAGCAATCGACATCCAATATCAACTTCTCCAAAATAAGAATTATTCAAGCAGACAGTCTGTGACTGGGGGCATTTTTCAGATTCTCTAAAAGTAATGATTCCTTTCAGAGCAGTATCAATGATATCAGTGACATCCTCTGGTTGAATATGATCTTTTTGGTTTATGGCATCATGTTTTCCATAGAACCACTTTTTGTATACTTGTCCCAGTGTGTCAAGTATATATGTGTGCTGTGGGAGACGAGACTTGGCTCTTTTAGCCCAAATCTCTGCTTCCTCAAAACATTTGTTTTCATAAAGCAGTCGTGCAAGCTGTTGAGCAACAAATGCGTCCTCATCAAAACGAGTGTAAGCCTCCTTTAAAAGGTCAATGGCTTTCTCCAGATCTTCTGTCTCGCTAACATGCTCTATTAAAGGAGAAAACCAACTGTCATTTGGATCTCCCTTGCTTTTTTTGGTCCGTTTGATAAACAGATCTCGGATAAACTTTCGAAATTCCTCTCTTCCAAATCTGTGGTCGAACAGCACTTTGTCCTTAAGGAGACTCATTGCTATTTCACTTTGGCTCTGATAGCTGGAGAGCTGCTTCAGAATCTCCTTAGCTATCAAATTGTGAATTATTCTCACAGAGAAGATATGTGTCTCACTAGATTTCAGCTGTATGAAAAAAAACCTGGCTTGCTCACTTAAGGAATTTTCAAATGTTTGGTGTCGAACTTCATCAGCCCATGACGACTCCGGACATTCGGCCATTTGATCCGATTTGTCAAAGTGAATTCCTAAACCTAGGAATGCCTCACAGTGTGATACAGACAGGTAAGAATCCTCAATATGGCTGTTCAGTAGTGCCACAAATTTGATCAACTGTGTCTGAAGAGATGAATGATCAATTTCCTTAACACATTTCTTAACACAGTCTGTGACATAAGATTGTTCAAACTCTTTACTCATGAGCACCAAAGTGAGTATAAATTCTGCTTCAAACTTCGGCTTGAGAGCCTCTGCTTTCTTTGAGAAGAGCTTCTTTTCTGTAGGGGATAGTTTGTGTGTAACTGCGACTGTGCGTAAAGGCAGTGTTTTACACATTCTTTCTGGATCAAGTGACCTTTTGCAGCAGAGAATGATGAAACACAGTTTTAATGAACTTATTTTCATTGTTGTGACTGCATTGCTTAGTTCTCGTCTGAGGTCATCCTGATAGTTAACATTGCAATCCTCCAGCAACAGAAGCACAGGTAAACAGGAGTTCTTGTCAACCTCCTCGTAATTCCAAAGTTGTACAGCATGCTCACAGACAGTTGCAGCCTGGTACAATTGCTTAACAACAGCACATCGCACTTTTTTCCTCCAGTTCCAGAGGATCTGTCGTGCCACTGTACTTCCGCCACTTCCAGGTTGATGATATATGTTGATATTTTCAATGGAGCGTTTTAATGAGTCGGTCTGCTCAAGGTCTTCCAACATTTTGTTAATTTCTGCATATGCATCACGTTTGATGATTTCCCCACATTGATTTCTGTCAGCCAGCCACATATTTAACCAGTCAATTTTTCCTCCTTGATAGAAGTATCGTTCAATTTTTTGTATTTGCTCTTGTTCCATGAAATTTACATTTGTTTCATCACACTGGTCAACACGGACTACTTCTAAGGAGAGCATACTATCTTCATCAACAGGTTTTAAAAAGCACAGTCCATTGTTTGACACGGGCAAATGCCTTGTGGCCTGAACACTGGTGAGCTGAATGCTTTGAATTGTAGCATCTACATGACTCATTTGCATACCAACAATACTGATTTGTTCAAGCACATCTGTCGAGCAAGACACTTGGGCAAGGTTTGACCACTTCTTGTAATTCTCCCTTGATTCTGAGATTATGACTATGTCCTCATGGCCACTCATTTCTGCGTAGAATTCATGAAATGTGTCAACTAGGGGTTGTTCAAAGTCAGACGTGAGAATGAAAAGCACTGCAAATGATCTTTTAGGGAGAATCTCATTGCAGATCACAGATATAGCTCTTTTCAACAGTTTTTTCTTGTTTTTGATCCAGGTTTTTGCATCACATGGACACTCATCTCCAATGTAATCATTTCGACCATTGCAGAATATCCAGCTTGTTCTGTCAAAGAGCTGTAACTTCTTGACTAATTCAGCAGTGTTCTCCCTATGATCATAATCACGCAGGAAGTGCAGGTTTACGGCATGGTGCTCTTGGTAATTGTGACAAAGTCCAGATGATTTTGAGTCAGGGTCAAAATCAAAAACACAGAAGATATTCATGTGAGCAAGGAACTTGATGTTTTGTAGGTTTTCTTGATCAAATCTATTTGAAACAATAATGTAACGCAATGTTTTGTCCATGTATTTCTTCCCATGTGTCAGAAGGACTAAGAGTTTTCTTCCTAAGTCCTCTTTAACATTAGCCTGTATCGGATTCTGGTTTTCTTCACATTCTCTTTTTTGGTCAATGTCTTTAAGAGCTTGAATGAAACTGACAAGTTCATCTTCAGTAATACGTGTTGTATTAGGTCCAACTCTTTGATAATAAGCTTTTTGCTCATATTCAACTTTATTTGCTTTCTCGTTGAACTTTGGAATACGGGCACTATACATTTTTTTCCTCACAACGTTCACTATAGGAACTACATCAACTTCTACAATCCAGTTTTGGGGCTGACTGTCTCTGTCAATTACTTTTATGAATTTTGGGGGCTTGATACATTTTCTGGCATCAGAGTGCTGTGTTGGAAAACAATGTTCAATGTAGTCTAAAGCTTCTTCAAAGACCTCTTTGTCTTCAATGGGAAATCCAATTATCTCTCCATGTTTGTATGATGTTTTTGTCTTGTCCATGACCCCAAAGTGGATTGTGCCATTTGCACGCATATTCATGCACGCACATGCAAATCGAATGACTTCATTTGCAAATTTGATCTTTAGCTTTCTTGGTTCTAATTTACAGGCATTTTCCAGTGATTTATACTCATGACATGGAGTGATCAGATTGTCAATACCTGTCTCTGGTAGGAGTACGGCATGTTTTATGTAGCTGAAGTGTTCGTCATTATCATTAAATGTCCGAAATTTACTCTGTGGCAAATACACGGCTGATTCAAGAATATCACATGTAGAAAAGTTTTGTTCAGGAGTAATGTCATCACTGGAAGACACAATTTCATGTTTTGCTTCCTCTTTGGATTTCTTTTTATTTGTTTTTGACTTGTCTAGTTGTATAAGTTCATCTCTTTTACTAAGCAAAAGCTGTATTTGGCCTCCTCCAAAATCAAGTTCTTTTAAATATGATTTTGTAACAGTTAGAAGAACAGGTCCTGTTACCTCATCTTTCTCAAGTTTTTGTATGTGCTCTGGTTTAATCCCAATTGTCTTTGACCATGCACTTACGTGCTGTTCGTTCCAGTCCGACCATGGTATAGAACTGTAGTCTAAAAAGAGCAAATTATTGGACATTTTTAAAAAAGGGCATGTCAATACCAAATAAGTTGAGAAAAATAATGATTCACATTTTCACAAATTCACATTTTGAAAGGTCCATCTCTAAATAATTTAATAATCTTCATAAATTATGTACTGTATGAGTTTTAAAAAAACCTGCCTCTAAGCTGTCAGGCTTTTGTTTAGTTTCATTTTGTTTTGGTTACATATTCTCTGTTCCCGTTTTGCCTGTGTTCCTGATTAGTCTCTCTGGTAGTTAATAGAAGGTATTGACGTCACTTTCCCGCAAGAACACGCCCCCCCTCAGCAGGACTGAGTGTCAAAAGAGGAAACTGAATAAAAACGTGAAAAACCTGAAAAACGCGAATAAAACAAACGATTATCAGTTTAAACTAAAGGTTGGACTTGTGTTCCTTACAACTTACCAAAGATCCAGTGATCCACGGATATTGAAATGCTGCCAGGAATTGCATCTGACATTTATATGTGTCTGATTTAGATGGCGGGGAAATAAATAAAACAAATTTGCCTGTGAACGCGTTTTATAAATACAATATAGGTATAGGACTAAATCCATGCGATCACTTATATCAATGTTATATATACAGTCGTGCTCAGAATTAATGGTACCCCTGGTAAATATGATCAAAACTGCCTGTAAAAATCTGTTAAACAAAAAAAAAAAAAAGTTGTAAAAAAGGATAAAGATCTGCATTGTTTATCCTTTTGATCTTTCATTTAAAAGGAGATTGCAAAAAGTATTTAATAAAAGGGTACCAATAATTGTGGCAATGTGTTTTGGAGAAAAACATTTATTTCATAATGTGATTTACACTACACGTTAAATTATTTTACTTCAATTTAATGTTAGATTTTTGACGATTTTTGATCAATGAAAGATCAAAAGGATAAACAATGCATATTTTATACAGATTTAAAAAAAATAATAAAATACAGCTAAATTACAGTCAGTTTTGATTATATTTACCAGGGGTACCATTAATTCTGACCACGACTGTATATATATATATATATATATACTGTATATGTCACACACATACCCTCTATTAGTTCTTGCTCCTGTTCTGTTTTAACTTGATCTCCCCTGTGTATTTAAATCCTGAGTTATTTCTGTTCATTGTCCCGTATGTTACGGATGTCTTCATCTTAGTTTACATGGAAGTTTTCTATTATTAATATTATTATTCCTGTGATTCCTAAGTGGATCAAAGACTGCCTTTGTTATGGATACACATATTGTCTTCATTGTGCGTTTAGTGCAGCCACCAAGCATGAAATAAGCATCAAAATGTATTAATGCTCACCCATTCTGTGAGGAATATTCAAGGATCATATTTCAAATATTTTGAGCCATCATTGCTGAAACAAAGAAAAAAAAATCATATTTGAGCCATATCTATTTGAATTGTGTTACACTGATTAAAACACATAGGCTAACAAATGATGTTTATAGTTCAATTATAGAAGATCACAAATTAAGAAACGATCAAATGATGATTGCTTTGTAATAACAAAGGGAACAAACCTGAGATCATTTTTGCTTTGAAAAGCAAAAGTTGAACAAGATGCTACAGAATATGACTCAGCAAAGTCAGCTTTCTGTGTTACCTGGGGGACTGACTGAAAACAAACGGCACTTTGATAAGTTGTGAACATGCATTGCACAAGACTTATAATCTTGGAGGTTTACTATATGAACAGAGGAAAAATAAGTTGTAGGCCTACTGCATTTACAAGCTACCACAATATTTTTTATAAGCCTGTGTCTTTTTACATTTGTTCAAATACACAATAGCGAAACATTAGCAAAAAAACATTACGAAACTGAGGCAAATTCAAAACGTAATAAAACAGTGATACAACTTGCATATACGACCCTGATTCACTTACTAAGGAAAGCAAAAAAACAACGTAGGCTACTCACACACACGGATGGACACGGTAGAGCAGCTCCTCTGCAGGTGAACTGAAGAAATGAAACCATCAGAACAGAGAACGTACATTACCAGGAAACGCCCTGTCATTTCTATTTTCATAAGTTTCATTACTAGGCCTACAGCCGGGCTTTTTTTCCCTTTAACAACCCATATTTACAATTTCACTCTTGGATATGGATTGTTGTTTTAACCATTGTTGTGGTCCTCATTAGACTTTCCCTTAATTAATAGCTTGGTTCCCTTTAATACAATTTTGTCAGTTTTACAACATTATCTAAATTAAACTACATTACAAAAGAACTGGGCTCGATTCGGTTGTTCTAAACTAAGGTATGGAATAATAATAATAATAAAATACCTAATAATAATAAAGTCACACATGGTCTTTGGGGTGTTTTTTATTAGTAAAAAAATATAAATAAATCCAGCACAGGTGTGTGGTCATATATATATATATATATATATATATATATATATATATATATATATGGGTTATTGAAAAAAATATATGAAAACATTTTTTTTGGCACTGACAGAGGATTGACTTCCGCGTAGGCTATATAGCCTATCTGAATCTTTCCTTTCCTGTCTATGATCTGAATACACAAATACAATTTGTAATCACACAAAATCTTTGAATGTAAGATATTTAAATTTAAACCAAACACTTATACTTGAATCACAAATTCTAGTAGGCTAATTTCGACAACTTCGCTAACGTAGTGGGTCTGAGAGGGAAAAATATAGCCTATCTTTTTACATTTGTTCAAATAGCCTACACAATAGACATTACGAGACTGAGGCAAATTTAAAACATAATTCAAATAGTGATACAACTTGCATACGACCCTGGTTCACTTAAGCACAAAACAACGTACTCACACATAAGGATGGACACGAGCAGCTCGTCTCTGCAGGTAAACTGAAGAAATGAAACCATTAGATAGGCTATTACCAGGAAACGCCCTGTCATTTCTATTTTCATAAGTTTCATTACAGTCGGGCTTCTTTTTTTCTTTTTTTTAACAAGACGGCCTTTTTCCTTTAACAACTTTCAGTTTTTTTTTCTAACCAGCAGATTGCAGAATTCTGCTTCTACCAATACCAATTCTATCAATATCCAGAAAAAAAATCATAGGCCTATTTAATTTTGATTATCGCAAAAGTGTTTGTTTTTTTCTTCATAAAATGTAATATCACACATACATGCTAATAGTTTTGAGTAATTTTGCACTAAATTGATTTAAAAAAGTACTATATGTCCCCTAAAGTAAATGAAAAAAATATATATAATTTGTATTATTAAAATGTGAATAGCTAAATACCCCAAAAACCAAGAGTGTAGCAGGAAACGAAGAGAATATGAGAATATGGTTTAACATGGAAAAGAAAGAAAAAGAATATAGCCTAGGCTATATAAAATAGAAGATCGCTGTATTTCTTTGTCATTTATAAATGGCATGTAGCTATAAGATTTATTTACTTTATACCATAGGCCTTCTTTAATCATGCTGTGTTCTGTTTCCTGTCCTGTTTGCCAATTTTTGTAGTCCCGTATATCCTGTGTGATATATTTGTCCAAGGGACATCTGTCTGCGGATAATGCGGTATGAAAATTATTCGAATAATTAAAACACATATGTTGCAGCTGCAAAATCTGTAATAGCGAGGCTGGAAATAATACAGACTCAAGTAGGCTACTGAGATTATAAGAGCAATGAGAACATCACCAGTGTGCTATTACAGGAGAAATTGTTTGAAGCTACTGTTGAGTAGGCCTATCTGCCAAAAACAACTGCTTGTTAATTATTGGATTTGAGGGGGATGGAGACAAACACCTGACCTGACCAAAAGGGTGCATGCCAGTTGGTAAAGAGGAATAGCACAAAAAAATAAGTTTTGGTTGAACAGAGGATGAAGCAGTGTGAGACCTGCGCATATGTGAAAAGGAGTTTTGCCAAACTATATGGCAAGCCTATGTGGATGTTAGATTCATTAGTGGTAGATTTGGAGCTATAACTAAGACAATGAATAAACATGCCGATTTGGTGAGCGAGTTTACTATATATGTGAAGCATAATAAGTTAAATACATTTTAAACGAATTTTACAGATGGATCAAATCATCCAATAACAGGAAAACAGGTTTTGCAATATAGTTCCCATGGAGTCAGAGAAATGAGATATGCAGGCGGGCCTCAAATGACTTATATTGCCATCTTAGCCTTAGAATTAACAAACAAAGCTTTAATTTGTAGTGACTCTGTCTCTGTCTTGAGTCTCAAAGTATATGACCAATAATCTTTTGTAGTTACGAAATAACAATCCAATCAAGAATAAAAAAAAAACAAGGATGTAATCATTCGAATCCAAGCGCATATAGGCATGATGGGAAATAAAAGGTTAAATACCCAAGCAAGCTTTGAAAAAAGAGATTAGACACATTAAGCTTTCAAGATCAGAATGGAATGGTATTGTATAGAAAATATTTTTTTAAAGAATGGCAACAACAGTGGGATCAAGAATTAAAAGACCAAAAAAACACACAAAAAAAACACTGACACTGTGGAAAGTATGGGGGATAAGTTAAATAGCACACTTTATATGTTATAGGGAAACATCACAATGGATTTAGTGAACATTGTCAAATACCAGAGACATATGAAATAGAGAGGGAGGACAAAATACATGGAAAGAATATGATTAACAGTTACAGGACGTTGAGTAAAAAACATAGGCCTACTTGAATACAGTAGAGTAGACAAGGAAGGAAATACTGGATGGTTAATAACAAAAACAGGACTTATTATGAGAATATGACATGTTGCTTTGTATAGAAGTTAATTAACCCCCAGATAGTGGCAGTAGTAAAACATCAAGGATGCAAGTGGTTGTTAAAATTGTCAGGTTGTCCTTATTGTTGGTGTGCCCAGTTCTGTTTTTATTCGGTCCTCTTTTGTGTTGATGTTGTTTGAACAATATCAATTTTCAAACTCAAAAAAAAAAGGGAAAAACATGCATATTAATAATATACATAAATATACATAAATAAAATGTAATTAAATCTTTTGTGGATATATTCTTAAAAAGATTAATGTCTATTAAAAAAACAATAGCATATTCAGTACAATAAACAAAAGCATAATCTCCACCAGATGTTTATGGGGGGTCATGGGGGGGATGAAGCATGTACAAAATCTTACAAGGAAAGAGACTCATACGTGACTTTATATAATTCACCAAAGTAATATCTTTAATTGAAGTATTTTATGGATGATAAATAATTCATTCTCATAAATAATTGGATTCTTTTTTTTTTAAGTTAAAGAGCGTTTACTGTTTTCCCTAGTTTGTTACTTTATTTATTTTGGTTCTTTTAAATAATTTTAATAAACGTTATTTACACTTAGATCCAACCCTCTGTAGCAAATTATCTCTATGAAATATTAATATTAAATCATAACTTGTTTTAATTGATGATGAATATTTGGATCAGTTAATCGGGTTGACTTAATAGCTACATTAACACTACAACCAATTACTCGGTTCATCCCGTGAATACTTAATATTGGTTATTAATGAATTAATAAAATTTCCAGGGCATGGGAAATGTCTTTCTTACTAACTAGAGCAAGTAATCAAGATCTATGATTAGTGACTCCAGGTATGAGCTTGAGACATGGACAAATTCACGTGTGACATGAACAAGATTTTATTAACTAGACTAAATATTTACACTACTTCAAAAAATACACATACATACAGTTTACCAAGGGAAAGAGAGCTGAAACAGAATACAAGAAATCAAGAAGTCATAGCATTGTTTGAAGTTCAGTAGATCAACCGCCTGAGCAAACTCTAACACGCCCTTCTTAGTTCTAGCACGCCCTTCTTAAAAAGGGGAAAGGATACTTGATGTATAAAATAATGAGACTAAGTTTGATACATGCATGTCTCGCCCATTTGAATTAAAACAGTCCTGATGCAATTTGTTGAAGCTCAAGTTGATCTTTGCAGATGTGGTCTTGATGAGAGAGAACCAGTGATTGTCGGAGGATCTTTGGTGAATGGGCCGCAGCCGGGCGCAAGCTTGAGAGTCCTTGAGGAACTTCTAGTTCAGCATCATCTTCACATTAGGGCTTCTCAGGAAGGCCCAAGAGAGAGAGCCAGAGGCTAAGAGCACAAGAGAGCTAAGAGGACAAGTGAGAGCTGATCTTGTGATCAGTGATTTTTAAAGCATGAAGATGTCACCGTCTGGAGGTGCGTGAGCCAATAAGCGCTCCCTTTGGAGTTTTTAATGACCCATTGCATTCTAACAGGGCATTTGAATGTGTAATTTCATTGTTTGGTTAACCATAGTATGCAAGTCATGTTTCAGACCAAAATGCTTTTGAAGAGAGAATGAAGACATAGGCCAAACCACATAAAAGGAAACTCATGAGATGGAAAATTAGATACATTTATCACATGGTTATACAGCATATATAGGATTAAAAGGGTTCATTTATCCTTCTCAAGAATTAAGTCACAATCAATTCCCTGCACATTCTTTTGGGTCGTAAAACTTATCAGTCTTACTGTGTCCTGTAACAGGACACCAGGTTCTGCCAGTGTTGGCTTGATTTGGGAGAAGTTTCACAGACCTTTGTTGGGATAGTGAGTTTGCTGAATTATTCATTAAATATAACAGATAATTTGTGTGTGTGTCTGATTGGTCCAGACACTACACCTCCCTCGTCTAGTCTAGATGCCCAGGGAAAGTTTGAAACTTCAACATGAACACAGATTAATCATTGTTCTACATGAACAATGACAGTCTGGATGGAAAATGAACAATATAAGGTTTATTCCAACACATTTATTATCATCACAGACTTGCCAAAAGTGACTCAGGCTCACAAAGGAGCAGTCTTGACCCAGGCAGCAGATTCACTATCCAAACATGCTATCATGTCATTTAGAAGATCATCACTCTCAGGACTCACACTACTGCCGCTGTGAGATTCTGTGAAAAAAAAAAAAAATCACATCCACTGGTTTTGGTAAGTACATTTCATTTTAAAATACATAATATAGCAAATATTAGTCTACTGAGTAAAATATTGAGTCTGACACATGATATAGGAAGAAATGAAGACACTGAAAATCCTATATTCTCTATATTTAAAAAAAAAAATTGTTTACTTATTGGCATCAATGGTTCCATGAAGAATATTTAACATCCATGGTGTTACCACAAAAGGTTTTTTATAGTAGAAAAATGTTCTTTGGGGAACCAAAAACAATTCTTCCATGGCAAAGCTGCGAAACCTTATTGAAACTTTATTTTTAAGAGTAACAGAGCCAAACACAAATATTGTAACAATGCCCATCAACCTGTAATTTTCTAAGATCTTACCAATTGTATGTTCAGTCAGTTTCCTAATCAAGGCGTTTGGGACATCATAGATGTTCTCAGTCGCCTCTGTAAAATGGAGAACAATCACAGCACGCTGTACGAAATATATGAATGTTTACAGTGTAAATGTATAATTTGAGTGTGTGGAGACTTGCCATGCTCTCCCTCATTGGTTGACCATTTGGAAGGGGGAGTGTCATAGATGACTTCTTCAGCAACTGCAATCAATCATTCGAAATCGTCATCAATCATCAAGAGTAATACTTTCAAACTATGTGCAATCATTTTTACCAATGAGTAAGTATACAGCTGGCAAGGCAACCCTTAATGCATTGCAGACAAGTGAACATTCTAAATTAAAATACTATATTATATTTTACAAAGAATTCATGAAAAAAAGTTGATTACACATACGTTTTCGCGCTGGTAGAACGTCATATTCATAGTCAGTCAGTATAAACTCCTCAGTACTTTGCTCCAGTACATTGTCTGTGCGCAGAGTTTCTTGAGACTCATCAGCATCTGAGGACGCAAATTATTGTAAGAGTCTTTCTTCATAGACATTCATAAATGAATTTCAGTTATTTATTTAATTATTTATTGCCTGTGATGTTTCCCAACCAGACACAAGGTTGGCAAGAATATTAATCTGCTAAATATATCTTAAAGTGATAGTTCACCCAAAAATGAAAGCTCCATCATAATTTACTACACTCTCTTTAATCTTCAAAACACAAATGAAGATATTTTAATGAAACCTTAGAGATTCCAATCTCTCCTTTGAAATTCCATTACACCAAAACTATGACGCAATATTGTTTTTTCACAATATAATAAAGGCATTTTATTATTAAACTTACAGTCATCATGAAACCAAAATGTACTACTACTTAAGAAACATTTTAAGCACGCCCCCTCCCTTCCACTGTGCTGGGCGTGACGTCACGAGTTTATATAAATCACACATCTCACATATTTCAACAGTTTAGCCTATCTTTATTATTATTTATTATAAATTTATTAAATAACCAAACTTCAGCAACATAAGGGCAGATCCTTTTAGCGCTGCTGATGACACTCGAGTAATCAAGTATTCCAATGTACTGTATATAAAAAAGCTTTTTTCGATTCCTCCGTCCTCGTTTCCTTTCCTCGCTTCCTTCCCTCGCATCCTACAGGGGTGGAGCTGAGACACGAGGGAAGGAAGCGAGGAAAGGAAACGAAGATGCACAAATAAGAAATGAGAAGAGTGTATTATCACCCACGCTCCCTCTTGATGACTATGACGTCATCAACATGTAAAAAAAACATGCTACCTTAGAAGAAACCCCAATAAATGTTATTTTGACGCATTTTAAGAGAAATTTTTAAATATGTACATAATGAGCACTTTAATTTACACATTAATTGGTTGTGGTGGTTAACCTGCAATTTGGACTAAGTTTCCCCCTCCCTCTTGGATCAACATTCGCTCGATGTGACAACCTGTCACTCACACGAGGTCACAGCAATAACAAACCACCACTATCCAACAATCCAATCAATTTGCGATGGAAAAATTCAAGTCCCGTCCTACATTTTTTCTTGTTCGAGAAGCTGTTTAACGTTAATAAGTCACAATAGGAAAACTATCACAGGAGAAAAACTCACAAAATCACAAATTCTGTTTCATGACATCTGTTTCCACTTTTTTTGGAAATAGGCTCATTTTACAACTCCTCCAGAGTTAAACAGTTGGGTTTTACCGTTTTCGAATCAATTCAGCCGAATTTCTATATTTAGAAGAATATCAGTAACCAGACAGTTTCTGGTCTCATTGACTTCCATAGTACTATTTCCAAAAAAAAGTGGAGTATCCCTTTAAGAGTGACAGTTTTGAATTACAGAAGGTATAACAGAAAAGCATTAAAAGTCAGCATGGAACTGGAAGTGGAAGTGGAGAAAGTAGAATCATGAATGTGAAATACCAGTGAAAGACTGGAATGATTCTTGACCAATGGAGAGACATCTGCTGTCCATTGAAGTGCTGCAGGTCTCAGTACTTGATCCTTCACACTGGCTAGACCGAGCTTCAGGGTTGTTATCTGGCACCAGCTCCCTAATCTCAATAACACACACACAACACATTCAGAGCGTTATAAATCTCATACAAATACTAACACTGACATGAAGCATATTAAAGTGCAGCGGTACCCATTAGAGACAGATCCAGATCTGTCGGGGCCATTGAGCAGCATGGCTTTCCATAGCTGGTCCATCCACTCCTGCCTGACATCAGCTGTATCTGCAGCCTATAGCATAAGATTCACAAATGGATTGCAAATGTTTATGGACTAAAGAAGCATAAAGAGGGTACTCATAATAACTCCTTCACTCACAGTGCAATGCATGTTCCTTTTTAAACGAAACTATTATGACAGTCCTGTCTTAGTCTCAACAAGTGGTTGATGGCAGACCACATCCTCAAACAGATTATAGACACTCGATCTCCTGATTAACATGGAAACCCACCAGCATTTTCTTCTTCCCATTTTTCATTGTGATCTCAAATAGGTAGCGATTGTTCTCCGATCTGTTTACCTCCCGCACAGACTGAACCTGTTAAAACATGTTGTTAACATGAGCACTTATTTGACCTTCTAATCAGATTACCAGCACAATGATACTCAGATAATATTACAAATCAACTTTACCTCATATATATAATATTGTCCCCTGAGGTCTAACTGTTTGGGGTTATAGAAAACAACAGATTAATAACCTTACAAATAAGAATATTCAGCAAAACAGCAATAATTTGCATTTTTAATTTAAAGCAGAGCTCTTCAACAGGTGGTCCATCTTTTTTATTTATCTCAAACATAACATTACACACACACAAAAAGTCTGACCTCTGAGGACCATTTGAAATGCACTATAAATATATTAAATCAAACACTTAAATACTTACAGCACTCCCATGTTTTTTAGTGTAGAAAAAAAGTGTTGTATTGTAAAGTCTGAACCAGTATGTCACCCACCGAAGCTTCTGAGGAAAATATATTAAATTACTGAGCAGAGAGATTCCCTCAGGTCAAGGTCAAAGTTTATTTCTATAGCACATTTTAACAACACGAATGTTGACCAAAGTGCTTCACAGATACATCAAAAGTACACATACAGTTAAGTAGAGCATATATAAATAAATACAATCTTTATAAGTACAAATTTTAAACCAAGCGACGTCACAAGAACTGCAACCCTGCAAAACGCATTTTCTAAGCGTGCATGTTAACTAATGAGTACTAATTAGATCATAAATTAGATAATATGATGTTTAAAACGCAAATACTTTTTAGACTGTCTAAAAGACAAATGATTCCTCCAAATGACAGACATGAAACACTAGCAATGTGTACATTATAGTCATACCATTTTGTCTTTCCGTTTCTTCAGAAAGCCCTGGCAGAGCGGAGGCGGCACTCCTCTTCCAGTCGACATGCTCATGCTTAGTATTGGAAGCTGAAAGTGTTCACACTTTATCATTAACATAAAGCAACATCATGACTTCCCCTTGAAACCGTCACATCCTCACTTCAGGTTTTTGTAGAATAATGGGATGCTGTCCTCAGTCAATTGCCAACATATGGGGGAGGTTCTTGTTCATTTGCTTTGCAGTTCTCAATTTTTATTTCATTTTTCCGGGGGGGGGGGGGACTATACATTACATAAAAACTAAAGTATTTCTATAACGGCTTTCAATGTTCACTATAATGTTATTTGAGTAGTTTGTTTCATAGAAATGTATTTATCTGCCATGAAAATAAAATAAATAAGTCAATTAAAAGGTAAGTAAATAGTAAGTAAAAATTATTTATTAACTATTATTATTATGGGGGGACAATTATTTGAGCATATATGATATAGTAATGGCAAAAAAAAAGAAAGTAGGAACAGTGTCACTGAAGTAAACAACAGGCAGATTTATTCACACAATTATTTATTGTAAATATTTGAAAACCCACAAGTGCAACAATCCCATGGTTTTGAACAGAGAGCATTGCATTGAAAGTTACATATGCATAAGAGCTAAAACATTAGACAAACAAAATGACTTTGTCTCTACATGATTGTTAGTTAGGAAGAATTTCATACAGTCCTTGTAACGGAGTAAGGAGGAACTATTTAGTCTGGTTTGGAACAAACCTAGTTATGCCATATTATTACAGAAAATAAAAAGTTTTTTTTTACTTTGCATAATCTTTATAAAGGCCATGCGTAGTATGAAAAAAAGAAAAGAAATACATCTTAAAATAAAAACCAGATATTGCATAAAATAATCCCTTGTTCTATGCATGTTTCAAGCAATGCCAAAAACAACATAGAAAAGGTTAATAAATTAATAAACACAGCTGTGATGTGCTAAGAGCAAAATGACCTTTACATTTCAGAAATGGCTTTATTTCAATGCTTCTCCCTAAAGGACGAATGTCAAAATGATAGAGTTCAAATATGGTTTGTTCACTAGCTAGACACAATCTTATATTGTCCAGTAAGATATATACATATATAAACAAGAGTTCATTCACCTATCTGCTGTCTCTTTTCAATATAGGTCACACCAATTACACTGACCTGAGGAAAACATCAGTGTGCATCAATAAAAACCTCCTGTCGGATCAGATGAGGACGCGATTACAGCTCCTGCCATACTGTAGATGTTCTGTTCCAGTACACGGCTGATGAGGCGAGTTCCTATAACACTTGGTTTGGGAAAGGCAGTTTTTTATACAAAATGTAGCTAACTATTTCTAGGAGTCTTCGGTCCTAAATTAAATAAGGATGGAATGAGGGATAATGTGTTTCGTAGTTTTTTGAGAGGGCCTTGGGTTGCTGTAACATACTGGTTGCACTGATCACCGTTGCTTGAGGAGAGCTTTGTACATGGCGAAGCCAAGAACGGCAAACACGGTGGCACCGACACTCGCCCTCAGCCAAAATGTAGAGTTTTTCAGGTCAGCTTGGGTCATGTGTCTGTAGAAAAGCAAAAGTAAGAGAAACAACAGGATTGTTAAGACAGTGTTCATACTGTTAAAAAAAACAAAAGTGTGTCTGTAGGAAATATCAGTTAACATTTCCAAACATTCCTTTTCCCAATATTTGTAATAATCCAGTGAGACAACAGCCGGTATGATCCACACGGAGATCTGATCTCACCATTATCTCCATCTGGGATTACGTGAAGAAACTGAGACCTACTAAATCCAGATGAACTGCAGCAACGTCTCCAAGATGCTTTAAGAAACCTTTCTACAAAGCTACAGTGAAACATTTTAGACACTTGTGTAAAACTGCTTTAACCCTAAAACCGTATTCTGGACAAATGTGGGCAAAATAGTTTTGATTTATTTTTAAAAAATACTTCCCTTGATCTGAGCGGTACAAGACTTGACTACTTTTCCTACAGTAAGTTTACCTCCTGAACACACAATTTTTTTGACTCAATTCTACAAAGTGGGTGAAAAAAAACCTCATTCTTGTATTTGGGTCAAAAATGGGCACCCATAGAAATGAATGGGAAAAACTGTAATTTAGAGCATTCTAAAACAAGCCAAAATAAGACACCAGGTGACAGTCACTTCATCTTTAGGTTTTAGCTCTAAGAACTTATTGGAATGATATTTTAATGTAGTTTAAAAAAAACATAGTAATTAATTTACATAGAAATAATTTTTAAAAAATGGTACATTTTGAAGTAAATAAATTAAAAAAATTCACCCAAAATAAAAAAACATAAATGGAGACCACCCTTTGCGTTTAAAACAGTTTTTGTCCAAGGTAAAGTTGCACATAGTTTTTCAGGTAGATTTGCAGGACGGTTTCTTCAAGCGTCTTGGAGACATTGCCACAGTTCTTCTGGATTTAGTCTGTCTCAGTTTTTTTCTCCATGTAATCCCAGACAGACTCAATGATGGTGAGATCAGTGTGGATATCCATGTAGACCATACCGTCTGTTGTCAGACTCCTTGTGATTCAAAAATCTCACTGGATTGTTGCAATTAATGACAAAAGGAATATTTCATGAAAATTCCCAGTGATAGACAATTATTTGATCTTTGGTATTTTTGTATTCCATTTATAGGCATTTGAGCATACAGTAGGATTTATACTTAATAAAACATAATTTTGTTATGCTTTTGGACATCATGATAATATACAAAGACAGCGGAGCTGCTGAAAATGGAAAATAAGCAACATGGGAAAGCAGGAATCAGTCAGCTAATGTTTTCATGGGCAAAAAGCCACAAATGTTTCAAGAACACTGTTCAGATGGTAAAGACAGGGTGAAAGAGAGAAAAAATACTGGAACAAGAGGTTTCTTGTGAGGTTAAACTCACCCAACACAGAGAAGGTTTAAACAACTCAGCACCACCAATCCAAATTCCAGGTTCAGACACAAAACTTATCATAGCAATGTTTGTTTGAGTAAGTGAAACCTATGAAAAATATTATGTAGCTAAAGGGGGGAAAGCCCATCAAAGCAACAAAGGTGATATGGCATTCACAAAGCAACAAATAATACAGGGTAATTCGCAGAACTCCATCCAGACATCTGCAGATACCTTAAGGATGTGGTGAAAAACAAATAAGTAAAAGTGAAGAAGAAATCAATTTTATTTAACCACCTGACTGTAAACTGGTCAAGAAGATTTCTTTAAGCTTAAAATCCAATTTAAAATCCCATTGTGGCACTGGCACCTTGTACCCCAGGAAGGGGGGTCTTTACCTGTTACAAACGGGCAGAAACGGGTCGACAGACGACTCCATGTAGACGGAGTCCTCTACAAAGCTGACTGCATGAACCTGATGGGTGAGGCCGGACTCCTCGTCAGCCAACAGAAACGTGCCCACCTCTTGTATAAAAGATCTCAACTTTATACACACATGCACACAGCATGGCAGTTCAACAACTGCACAACTGATAGGATCACCCCAACATACCCCACTGCTCACCACATGCTGTAAACAGACAAACTCTTGCAAACCACTATACTGATATTACTGAGAAATAGCAGCTTTGTCACTAAAAACTAACATAGAGAATTCTGAATGCCTTTATCCATTTTAACAAATGATTTGTATTTTTAAGCTTGGCAATGAATGCCACTTTAAAGTAATTATATATATATATATATATATATATATATATACTACCGGTCAAAAGTTTTAGATCAGTAAGATCTCTAAGAAGTCTCTTCTGCTCACCAAGGCTGCTTTATTTGATGAAAAAAAAATGACAAACAGTAATATTGTGAAATATTATGACAATTTGAAATGACTGTTTTCTATTTTAAAATGTAATTTGAAAGCTGAATTTTCAACATCATTACTGTTGCTGATTACACATCATTTTCAGTGTCACATGATTCTTCAGAAATAATTCTAATTTGCTGATTTTATGCTCAAAAAACATAAATTATTATTTTCAAATGTTGAAAACAGTTGTGTACATTTTCCCCCCAAAATTCTATGATGAATAGAAAGTTCAAAAGAACAGCATTTATTTAAAATATAATCTTTTCTAACATTATAAATGTCTTTACTGTAACTTTTGATCAATTTAACTCCTTGATGAATAAAAGTATTTTCTAATTACTTTCCCCCAAAAATAAAAAATGTAATTCTTACTGACCCCAAACTTTTGAATGGGAGTGATTAATGTTACAAAGGCTTTCCATTTCAGATCAATTCTGTTCTTTTGAACTTTCTATTCATCAAAAAACCCTGAAATAAAAATGTAAAAAACTGTTTTCAAAATGGATAATAATCCTAAATGTTTCTTGAGCATCATACTATAATAATTAATTTCTGTAGGATTATGCGACACTGAAGACTGTAGTAATAAATGCTGTAAATTAAGCTTTGAGCACAGGAATAAATTACACTTCTCTATATATTCACATAGAAAACCGCTGTTTTAAATTGTAATAATATTTCACAATATTACTGTTTTTTTTTGTATTTTTTTATCAAATAATTGCAGCCTTGGTGAGCAGAAGAGACTTCTTTCAAAAACATTAAAAAAAAATCATATATATAGCGCTCAAATCATAAATAAGCCAAAGAGGTTTTGGGAAGTTTTCAGGTCTTAACAGCAAAAGGTGTTACTACTAAGTACTAAAGATGTTTCCCTGAAGGGGTTGAATAATTTTGAGAAAGCAGAAGTCATTAAAAGTTGCATTTTTAGTTGAATTTGTGGAAACCACTTGAAACATTTGTTGTGTTGACAGCTGAAAGCTGTCTGTAAATTTTGCCAATGAACCTGAATAAAAAAAAAAGAGGATTTTTTTTTTTTTTAAATGTACTTGTGCCATCCACTGAGCACTGCGGTATGGACAACCAATAAATGACCTGAATGAAACCTGAATTTGAAGACCATACACATCTTAAACATCTGACTGGCTATAAAACACTGACTAAACAACAGACAAGAAAAAAGATACTATCCGTCAAAGCACCAAACAATAATGGCAAGAGAGCCATGTGTTTTAGATTAAACAATACATTAGCAGCAACGGGTAAGACATGTTAGCCATTCAAATACGGACACAATGCAACACAAACTAAGCCCCTTAGAGGTCAAATCACGGCATATGAACAGTTAGTCCTGAGGAAGCTTTCTTAATTAGTGCTGAGAAACATGACATGGTTAGACTCCATTAGGGACTGCTAACATGATGTTAAGAGATGCAAAACAAATACGAAAAGGGCCAGCAAAAAAATGAAAAGGAACACCTATGGAGGGACAGAACAAAACAAATTCACAAGATTACATTTAATAGACAGAAGGACTTTGATATATGATTTCCGTGCACCATGAACATGACATTAAAAACCATAGATGTGTATGCTTAGAAGAAAATTATATTAAATACAACTGTTTTAGTCATGCACTAACTTTAGACAAATAATGACTTATTCTTTACTTTGTGAATAAGGAAATAGTACAACTCACACCCATGCATTTCACCTGGAGTTACATTTTATACGCAGTAAGAAAGATCAGAAGATCTACCAAATCTAAGAGACCAACTGCTCAGTATGAATTAACTCAGTAAAAATTGCAACCAAAAATGAAAGGCTTATATGAACCTTGCGGCCATATTTGACCATAAAGCAAGGATGAGTGAATTAGTGCAGATTTACAGCTTGCATATCCACCTCAACTGACCAGATAAAAGGGTTTAACATCATCATCACAACACCAGGACAAATGCAAATCTGTCTCTTTCTGTCCAAAATCCAAAGGATGCCTTTATAAACATGTGTTTAATGTTTATGGCATGTTTGAGAACAACCGAATCCATTTTCAAGAATTATAAAAGGCTGCATGACATTTGAACTAGAAAGTAGAAAAAAAAAAAAAGTAAAAAGCTAAAAAGTAGCAATGTCTTAAAAAAAAAAGATTTAGTGAACAAGTTTTGCATTTAAAAAAAAAGATTCCCATCTGTAGTTTTACATTAGTATTAATCTCAAGTATACAAGCCATATTCAGTCTGCACTTTACGATATGGTTGATGCATCAGAGGCTAAAGCAGAAGCGAAAGTGCGATATCATGCCTCACTGATACTTATAGAAAATGCTATACTCAAATACAATGTTAATCAATAGAAGCTGCTATAAATGTTGTTTAGGCCTTGTGTGAATGAAATTATGCGTTATTCTAACCGACCAGTCAACATTAGTTATGATAAATTTAGTGACAAACTTTAAAATAACACAGCCTTCAACATTTTAACGTATAGCCAGAAAATTTCCCAACATCCCTCTGTGGATATGCAATGTAAAGCTGCCAGGCCAACAGCAAATAAAGGAGTGTTAAGAAGCCGAGGTTAGAGAGATCGCCCTGCAAAGAGAGAGAGTGGTGGGGTATATAGAGCTGTACTCAGAGACCTGTTCAGAACAGCACTGTAGATTTTGGCCTTTACAGAGCGCACCAGCTCAGAGTTCAGGAGGTTGTGACTGATGCAAAAGGTACACCTGTTGCAGCTGCACATGCAGCGTAACTTGGCGTGGCTGCAGAAACACACACACACAGACAGGAAGAATCAGCATCACATGACAAAGTTCCAAGAGAGCTGGATCCTCCACTTGGGCTTGGACATGAAGTAGTGCAGAGAGGTAAGCAGAGTAAAAAAAAAAAATCTATTCATTTGCTGGGAGAAGAATTGTGGTGGAAAAAGGCAATCTATTGACAAGTTACACAAAAGGAAAAAAACAGGAAAAGAAAAAGCACGCTGGGAAGGCTTGAAACATCATACTCCAAACATATAAAAGGAAAGATGTATAAACTTGGCAAAACAAGCTCAAGCAAAAAGCTTGAATAGGGCTGCACTATTAAGTGAAATAAAACTGAAATTGTGATATGACAATGCAATTATCAAATCACATAGGCTGCGATTTAATTCTATAAATATTTGTACTACACGTCTCAGAGGAAAGCACTCAGTTTTCATTTACACGTGAGCAGCTTTTTTGCCAAACTGTGCATCCCTACCAAAAAAGAAAAAAAAAAAATTAAATGAAGACAGTTTAAAAAAATTAAATGTATACTTTGAATTACATATGTCTACCTAAAGTTCTTTCCTAAGAATTGCTTACCAAAAATCACTTGCTATTGTATACCATGAGTCGGTGTTTTCACACACAGCCTTAAAAACACCATCAACTTTTTACTACCATAAAAACAAATATTTTTTTGTTTTCAAATCAGTTATTTAAAACACAGTTCTTGTACACAGCCTTAGGAAAGAACATAACTATCATCACCACCTGCCACTACAGAACCGTTTTCCCTGATATTATGCACTTCAGTAAAAGACCATGGAACAAATGATACTTGAATGTCTCCGAAATCACACCAATGACACAGCTTTCCAAGAAACTGCTAATATGACACCTACCTAACAGCTTTAAAAGCACAAGGAGACGATAACTAGATAGACAAACACAAAAGAGGCGAGCAGGGAGAGCCAATCACAATCTAACAGGAGTAGCAGACAGTGGGGCAGATTGGTCGGGTTAAAGAAGGGGCTACAGTATATACTCACGGATACATGGCCATAGTGGTGAGTTTGGTGTAGATGTCTTTGCTGGGTGCTTCGGCTGTGTTGCAGGTGAACAGCTGTGGCGGGTGAAGCTTGTGTTTCCGGCAAAAATCCAACGGGGACATGCTGTAGTACTGACGTGCTTCATGCAGGTCTGACTTGGCAGCAATAATCACACAGGGTGTCTTGCTGTCCATATAGTGTTTCTGTGAAAAGACATCACAATGTCCTTAACCAGTATAACAACATATATTTGGAGTTATTTCTGTGTTTTTGTTGAGCTTAAAAAAGGATGCCAACAAAAGCATAATTCTTTTCCCAAATCTCATCCTGAAGCTACACATCTACACACCGATGTCATTCCAGAAACCGACCAATACATTGTTGACCCTGTCTGTCGAGCTTTAATTTAAAGGGTTAGTTCACCCATAAATGAAAATTCTGTCGGCAATGATGTCTTTACTAACTTTTCTGGGCCAGCACAAATCAATTACTTTGCAGCCTATGGACGAATGATGGAGGAGAGCTCTCAGATTAATTCAATAATATCTTAATTCGTGTTCCAAAGATGAACGAAAGTCTTACAGGGTTGGAACAACTTTAGGGTGAGTAATTACCGACAGCATTGTCAATTTTGGGTGAACTATCCTTTTATACTAATTCACAATAAAATTGACAAGAGGAATAAAAAGTTTCACAATCAAAACTTGGAGGGTTTTATTGTAGAAACAATGGGAAAGTTTTGCTAAGTAATTTTTTTGGATCCACTAGATGACACTGAAATATATTATTTATGAAATATATGAAATATATATTTTAAATCCATACATATACATTACCATTCAAAAGTTTGTGGTCAGTACAATGGTTTTTAATTAATACTTTATTCAGCAAGGATACATGTACTTGAAAGTGACAGTAAAGACATTTATATTGTTATAAAAGATTCTATTTCAAATAAATGCAGTTTTAAATGTTCTATTCATCAAAGACGATTTGGTTCAACGAACGAAATGCACGAAGTGACTTGAAAAAAAATGTGTTCATTTTGATGAATGAGTTCGAACAGGAGAGTCACGAACGTGCATCACAGAACAGAGCAAGGCAAGCATTTGTGCTTATAAAACTGAAACTTTTTTATCTATTATTGAAATGAGCGATCGTTTCGCTAGATAAGACCAGTGTTGGGAGTAACGCATTACAAAAGTAATACATTACAGTAACATATTACTTTTTGCTGTAACGCAGTAGTGTAAGGCATTACTAATCAATTTTCAGTAATATTTTACTAGTTACATGTTCAGTGAGGCTTGCATTACAGTTGTATTACAGTGTATTGTCTGCTTTTACTTCTTAAAGTGAAACAGGCTATGTGAAAGTTTTAAAGCAGTCTTTTAGTGCCAGTTCAGAGCGGTCGCGTCTATAACATTGTTTTTTCCTTATAAATGCAAACACAAAAACTAAAATAAAATGAATATTTTAAGTTCTATGGAGACTGGAAAGCCAACCCTTCCTCATCCGATTTGCGCAGTGTAATTAACAGAATTACAAAAAAATCGATTTTGCCTCGTATTTTTTTGTCACGCATGAATGTGTGTCTTTTCCCTAATATTAAAAATAAAACATAGACTGATATTTGTCTAATGTCTGGAGTCCTTTAAGGAAGTAGCCTATATACGTTTCAATACATGAATTTTCTGAGAATTTTTATTTCACGTTTTGACTGCAAATGTCATCATGTCCATAATGCTGGACTTCCCCAATTTTAAATAATTTATCCTCAACTAGTTTTGTGGTGTAGGTCTACGTATTTTATAATGTTAACTTCAAATAATACTAATAGCCTAATTTAAAGATAAGGCAGCATTGGATATGGACGGTAAGGAGAATAACGCTGGGAGTTGGAAGAGGTTTGTCGCGATTCTGTAGGTTCGTTGATCTGAGTCGTGTGGCGAATCGCGATTTCGGTTTCATATTGCATATCGTTACAGCCCAAAAGTTAAGTTCTACTTAGTTATTTTGGTGAAAGTAACTAAAAAGTAATACATGAGTAATGTAACGCATTACAATTCTGGGACAGTAATATTGTAAGGTAATTAATTACTTTTAAATAACAGTAACAAGTAATACCTAATGTATTACAGTTTAGAAGTAACTTGCACAACACTGGATGTGACACTGAAGACTGAAATAATAACAGCTGCTAAAAATACAGCTTTGACATCGCCGGAATAAATAACTTTAAAAATAACAAACCATTATTTCACATTCTAATATTTCAAACTAGTACTGTTTTATAGTATTTTGATCAAATAATTGCAGTCTTGGTGAGCATAAGACTTTACAAAATCATAAACAAAAATTGTACAGACCCCAAACTTTTGAAATGTAGTGTTGATGATGTCAATTACATTTATGTACGTTCTTACTAAACTAAAGTGACTTTCAGTAAAGTACGTAAGCCATGTCACATAAACAAGTAGGCAAGTGTATTTGCTACATGCTAAGCTAGCCCTCTCCAAGCTTATATGAACCCAAGAAAACCACAATAACGACATTCAAACTTTAAAATGAATTTGACACTAATTCAATACATAGCTTTATTGCTACTTCACAAATACAATCTACAGCTGGGTTACACGTTTACAAAAAAAAGCAACATAACCAGAAACCTAATTTACTGAAACCACCATATCAAATTGAATGAAGTCTTGACAATAAACATTTTAAAAATATACTGACCTTGTAGACTTTAGTGCAGTACTCAAATGAGCATGGGTTGCTGATGTCATACACCAGACAAACAACATCACAAGCCACATCAGCCTCAGAAAGGAACTCAAAGTCTGGCAGCACCTCATGCAGCTGAGAGAGAAAGAACCACTAATCAGCACTGGCCAGACATGAAGACTACCATATTAGTGTAAAGAGCAAAATAACTTTGACTTACGAGCAGATATTTCTCTTGTCCATAAACGTAAGTTGTGCTAATGGCATAGTAAGACTTGTGGTCTTCTCTTATCTTCTTCTGACGCTGCAATATGAAAAGGGAGAAAGTCAAAATCAAAGTCTAAGTGCTAGACGCTCATGTGAGGTAACTGTACTCACCGCAAGATTCCTGCCCAGGAAAGCCTGCAGAAAGCCACTTTTACCGCTGCCCCGGGCACCGAGGACATTGCAGCGGAAAACACTGCGCTGGGTCTGTTTCTTTTGCAGATCGATGCGCTTATTTCTGGTGACTGCACAAGGAAATACACAATATTAGTTTAGAAATCAGCTTTACAGATAAATGAATGAATGAAGATGCATGCTAAAACACACTTACTTGTTATAGCGGCTGCCTGTGACTCCTGTTCTTGGATAATAGAGTAACCAAGATAACCCAGGTACTCCAAACATCGCTGCACATCTAGGTATGTTGTTAGTCTGAGATGGAGAAATTATGTTCAACATTTGAAAGAGAATGATCTAAAGGTTTATTGTTTACATCTTTAAATCCTGTGGGATTGCACTCACGTCCACTGGGAAAGATAGCCTTGGTAAGTGATCCAGCCCTGCTCATTGGTGCAAACAGTGTAGTTGACATCAGGACCCCAGGGCATGTAGGGAAAGACCTTGAACAAATCCTTCAGCTCATCAGGAGACAGGGCACAGTCTCGATCCTGACACAAACATTTAGAGTGCGGAAAAATGGAGATTTATTTAATAAGGCATTCTTAGTGTTAACCAATCATTTTTATCTAAATTTTTCTACATAAAATAAGGGCCATATGGGCATCTTTAACTTTTGCATCACATCTCACTACTCTTTCAGCATCTTGAGCCAACTGTAAAATACTGTAAATACTGTATTAATATACTGTAAAATACCAGCTGTAAAATACACCTTTGTTTTATACAATTGAACAAAAGGCCAGGCCATTAATCATAGAAGGTTCAATCATCTTTATTCAAACTCAAGTTACAAACATAGCTGTCCTTATCAAATGCAGCTATTTGGGAAACTTTTTCCAATTTTGCTGTGCTCACCTTGTCATGCTTGTCAAAAACGCTCTGGAGGAAGAGGTAGGCATTGTGGTTCAGCTCTGTGGTGCAGTCTGGGGGTATTTTTATCCTAGAAAAACAACTGCCCTCATTAGAAAACATTTCTTTGATTATTTAAAAAACAGGGCAGTGCAACAGATCTGCAAAAAATGTGATCCAATCAGAGATTATGCACTGTTTAATGTGGTGGTGATTAATTTAAAGTTGAAGTTATATACGATTAATTTAAAGTTGAAATACTGGATTTGGGGTGGGACTCACAGTGGAAACAGGTATTCTTGTGTCAGCTCCAGATCATCATCATAACCAAACCTCCTGAGCACGGTCCATGTGGTTTCATGCCTTCCCCGCTGAATGAAGAGTGTGTGAAGGAACAGGAAACCTAGAAAACAGACAACACACATCAGACACAAACAGAACCTGATGAATGGACGAATAACAAAATTTCATATAACATCTATATATATATATTAACACTATTATAATCAAAATTATTATTTATATACTATTTGTATTCATACACTTAAAATATATAATAAAATAATAATCTTTTTTTTTTTTTTACAAAATGATATCTATGGGATGCCAAATATCACTGTGATATAAAAAGCTGGTGGCATTTGCCCTTCTACTCAGCTCACCCTTCCGTGTGAGGCCGTTGTCTTTTACCCCATCTGACATATTTTTCCGCACAACATTCTTCACGTCCTCCAGGGCTTGAGGTGCCAGGGGTATGTTAAAACAAGTTCTCTGCAAAGCAGGACCACCAATCATCATCAATGTTGCTTAAGAAAATATGACAATTTTCTTTCCCTCCCATTAAGGTGCAGTTTGTGCAGCTGTGTGCATAATCAACTTCTCCTGTCACTTATAAAAATGCCACAGCAATTTGAGCACAAAGTGCTGAAGAAACCTGCTCTTACCTGGAAGAAATTAAGCTCATTATCATTCAGAATGCCATCATTGTCAAGGTCTGATATTTTGAAAATGCGAGTAAGTGCCTTGATGCAAGATGGCTTCATCTGGAGAATAAACAGAAATAAACTCATTCCTACACAGCATTACAGATCGTTAGAATTTTTAGATGTAGGGATCCAACCCACTCATGTGCTTCTTTGCAATAGAAATTCACATCCAACAGAAGTAATATGAAAAGCTAAATCTCTTACCTCTTTCTCTTCTGGAGAGTACAGAGGTCCTGTTGGGTGTAGAACGGCCTTCTGGGCGTAGTAGAACAACTCTGAGATATTCTTTAGGTTTTTGGCTGAACACTAAGAAAGAATAATAAAATTAAACCATGATGGGCTTTCCTGATGTACAGTATGTCTTTTTCAAGTATTTTAATTTCTATATAACTTTTTTTTAGTTAAGGATCTGGAAGAATAGGGCTTTATAGAGTGCCAAAGTGATGACGTCACTTTGTAGGACAACTCGGAAGTTAGCGCCGCAAGGGTTCCCTTGATCGAAAAGCTATGCATTTTCACCATAGACCTTTGGAAAAATAAAAAATCCCGAAAAATAAAATCTGTGTTCAACAAAGAGTTGTGACCCTTACATGTTTTGTCTATCAAGATAATCTTTACAAGTTAATCCAAAATGTATATATTTTGAAGCCTATATAAAGTTTTTAAAAAACCACAAGCAGGTTATATAACTGGTCTGTTTTATGTCATAGATCAAAACGTGAAAATAAATATATAAACGTGACCTTATTTCAGGTTTAGCAAAAAAAAAAAATCTTGATTTAGCAAAAAATCCATTCAAAAATCCCATAGACTTTAGAGAGAGGGAGCCAGGAGTGCTAAAATGCTAACTCACTTCCACGTTTTGGCCAACAAAGTGACGTGATAACTTCATTGAATGATTCAAGTCATTTTTTTTTACATTTGGGTATAAAGTAGGGCTGTCAAAAGATGAATCGCGATTAATTGCATCCAAAATAAAAGTTTGTGTTTACATAATATATGTGGGTGCACTGTGTATAATTATTTTGTAAATATAAATACACACACATGCATGTATATTTAAGAAAATAATATTATTTATATATAAAATATTTATATTTACATATCATATAAATTATATATACATTTATATACAGTATACACATGAAAATATTTCTTAAATATATACAAGCATGTGTGTGTATTTATATATATAAAATAATTATACACAGTGCACCCACATATATTATGTAAACACAAACTTCTATATTTGGATGCGATTAATCGTTTGACAGCCCTAGTATAAAGTGTTTTAATTCCACAATATATGGTGTAAAAACATCTGAGTGCTGCCCTCTTCAGGTTGAATGGTGGCTACTGCAATTAAATTTTTTCTTTTGAAGTTGTGGTGCCCTGTGATGCAAGCAGGCACCAGCTGACCACGCCCTTGCCTACAGAGAGACCCGTCTCAGGTGCACAGCGCATTTGAATTTTACTTAACACATTTTAATATGGGAGAGACAATGACTTTTCTTTTTTTAGATCAAGCAATAAATTGCAGGCACCCTGCAGTATGTGTGAAAGCTCTGTGACTCCTTTTAGACTAAAATAATGAATAAGTGACAGACACATGACCCAAAGAATGTCGTCTACAGCCCCTCTGCACACACACTCCATCTCATCTCACAGAGGCATGTACAGAACATCATCACATACGTTCAGACCAAAATCACACTTTTCAGACTGGGAGCATCTCTCACCTCCACACAGGTCTCAATGTCAGAGTACTGGTTCATGATGGGCAGGATGGTCTCCATGCTGCTGTGCTCCACTAGGTCAGATTTATTCCCCACCAGGATCAATGGTACTCTGTGACAAGAAACTCTGATTAAAATGTTTTACAAATTCAGACAAAATCTTTGAATTTAAATTTATATGAGGCATTGTGGCATCAAACAGAATTTCAAACAAGCAGCAATTGTTACATGGATTATAATTTTTTCATTGCCAATCAGCAGGAGGACTATCTTCATGGGGAAGACGGAGTAAATAAGTCATAAAATTAATACATTTATAAAAACTATATAAAGCCGTGTGTACATGGAAACTTTGTTATTGTTTAATGATATTTGCTGTACTGACAATAACAGCCTGTTAAATAAATATTGACATGCATTTATTTCCAGATGATTATATAATATTTGCATAATTATATTTTGCAAATATAATCATCCAAAAAAATACAGTGCATCTCATTTTTCCTGTACATGACATCTCAATACAGATTATATATTATAATTATTTGAAAGCCACATCTTTCTGTTGCAGAAGAATACAGACTATTATTTTTAAAACCATGTAGAAAGACCAAAGCAAATTCAAGAGGCCCGAGGCCTCCAAGAACGTGGCAGGAAGCCACACACCTGCTGTCCTTATCCGTCCTCTCATTGATGAGGGGAATCCAATGACTTGTCACCTACAGGGAAGCCAATATTAAGAGACACAACAGAACCTTTCAGACTATCAGAAATTAAATAGCAAGAAATGTATTTAATTTGGTAACTACAGAAAGAAAGAAAAATTACTATGGCATACATGGAAACAAAACGTACCTTTTCGATAGATTTCTTGTTGTTTACTGAATATACGATGCATATAACATTGGCCTGTGACGAAGAGAGAAAATGCTAGGGAGGTGAAAAAACAATAAAATCAAACTAAATTGTGTTATCAAAAAGACTAAAATAAGCCACACCTTTGTTATTTCTTGGTAAAGCTGCTCATCTGACTGTTCTGCTTCTGTGGGATAAAAAATAAATATGAGAGCACACAAAACACCAGAGGTAATAACAGTGACGCTGGCTATATGAATCTCATCATACAGAGATATGTGATCATGCATCCTTACCTGAATAGTCCACTATATGAGTGGGCACTCTCTCAGGTGTAACATCAGCAGGAATAGTGATCTCTTCGGCTCTGGGAGGAACCTTCAATGAGATGCACAATACAAGTGAGAAACACCAAACTAATGCAATGCATTTAGGCAAGTATAAAATTGGCTTAATAAAATGAACTTAGTTTAATGAGTACCTCATCGGGGAACTCCTCACTGACAAGTGACATGATCAGGGAGGTCTTCCCCACTTTGGCTGTGAAGAAAAGAATTTCCAAAGTGACCGTTGAGTTCTAGGTCTATTCACAGCACTAAATGATTTCCGGAAATATGCCCGTCACGATTTGTTGACAATGTTAAAGCCGAATTGTACTATTTGCACTTTTATGGCCTCAAATTGCAAGACTACTTTCAAAAATTCATTTCATACCACAGGACCATTTTAAATGTACTAGCAAACAACCAAAAAGGGGATTGAAAGAAGGGGATAAACATCAATAAATTGTAACCTAAAATCCTAATGCTGAAAAAAGAGTCTTGATCAGTGGTATTTTAGTATCATTGAGAAACATATTTTATTAACATTTTGTACTGATATTTCTAAAAATACAAATGAACTTATCCTGTGATCAGTTATGTTCTCAAAGTGTTGGTGTCACTATCTGAATATTGTAAGATGATGCTAAAATATCAATTTTGAAGGTGTCTGAACACTGAAGCTTGATGTTCTGGCATCGGTGAGCTGTACGGACACGTACTATTTTGGCTGACCCATCTAAAGTTTGGCAGCTCCTACAGCAAATGCCTGACACTTGCTCGTGAAACTACTATAAATAACCCTGATAAACAAGGGTGAATCTAACTAAAATTTTCAACAAATCATTAATGATGGACTAGTGTCATTCTTCATGTCAGGGTTTGCTGGTCTGGTCAATTATGATGATTAAAAAACTGTAGTTTTCCCAGTAATTGTACTTCCAATGGACATGCACATAGATTTATATAACGTGTTGGAAGATTATGTAGACAACGTTTAAGAACATACACAGAGCGTAGTAACTTCACTTGTCAATATATATTGTCCCAAATGGTTGAATAGAATTGTTTGTGAATTTCTGTATAAAATACAGAATGAAAGGGTTTATTCTGCAAATAATAGTGAACAGCTGCCCATGTTGACTAACTAACGTTAAAGAGATGTGCGAATCAATTCAGCAACTGCAGACAGATAACAAACAATAAACCAGGAAAACATGGAATTGATTCACTTACGTTCTCCGACTAGTAATATCCTCACGTCCTTTCTCATCGTTGCAACTTTAATGTGATCAAAATAAATATTAAACAAGTCCTTTGTCGTGGATCATTGATCCTGCTGCTATATGTAATAAGGCGGGCCTGTGTAGGGCAAACCGGACGGATCCACCGGACGGATTCTGTCTGCCTCGGTCTAAAACTTCTGTTCACAACAGTTTAACACACACAGGCGAGATTCGTGCCATTGAGAAAAAAGGGTTTCCACGGGTATGAAGGCACTGCTTGCTTTCTTCAGATTCACTTGATGACATTTCTGGGTTCACATTTCAAGCTCACGCCAGAGGCGGCTGACCTCCAATAAAAACCGGTAACTACGGAACACAATTGCGGACAAACGCGAATCTCCTTGCGCTGACATTTTCTGATTACAACATTCGTGGTTAAAATGTTATACCGTCTCCTGTAGGACTGGAGAGGAAACGCGTGTCACATTTCCCCCGCAGAAAGGAAAAACCGAAAAACGTGCCTGGCCACGCAGAAAAATATTACACAGTTCTTTGCCAAGAATGATGGGCTCTAGAGTCACTAATTATTTCAGTGATTCTTGGGAATTTGGATAAAACAGGTTTTAATTTTGAAAATAAAAAGTTAGTTAAATTACAAAATCTGAAGGTATATCATTATAAAGCAAGGTCTTGGCTGTTCAGCAATGCACCGGTGCAACCTCCTCATTTTGTATTTTTTTCATAAAATAGGCGTTTCTCCAGTTATCACTTTGTTTTTGTCAACACCGTCAGACAAAATAAATAGCAAATTATTTTTTATTTGTTTGGTCTAATATGTATTTAGAGTTTTTAAATCATTATCTGGCATTCTTGGTACACATATATGCTGTTAAATGTTGAATATTCACTTTTGTTCATTTTTTATACTGTTTTGCGTGTACTCCTTTAAAAGATATAACATCATACAACATTTACTTTAAGCCTAAATAGAAAAATTAATGTTGTTTTATTTAACAAACATATTTTTGTATTAAAAGAGACTATTACTTTAATAACTCAACAGCACTGAAGAATCATATTTCAAGTATATTCATTTAAAACCAATAAAACTCCCTCTGACGGTGGTGACTTTAGAACTGACGGTGGTGACATTAATCTGACGGTGGTGACTGTGGCCTCTTTACAACATACAATTCCACAATGTATACCACTCAAGTCAATCAATTCTTGCTTAACAACTTCATTTAACTCTTTGGTCCAAAAAATAACAATCTTGAGCTCTGTGATAAACATTTTTTTCCTTTTATGAGGTATTCCTCATTTAACTCTGCCTCACTGTGTATTTTCTCTCTCAGCTTTTTTTGGTATTCCCTGTTTCTTCTCCTTCTCTCCTCTACAGATAGCTGCTGCCTAGCCATAACTTTCGAAAATACATAAAGTCAAAGTTGAGTGTAATGACTATGAAATTGGGGGTAATTACAGCGAATGTTAGATTTGTTTAAATGATGTCATGCCATTTTCATTTGGCTTTAGTCATTGGAGATGCATAGCCTGGAATGGATAGTGCATACTATGTGTTGTGTAGGTAGGCAGTAGCTGCACTATGTGCATCCTTAGTTCTGGTTAGTTCTGGCAGGTCACGTTATTCAAGCTCGCTTCAGCCGACTATTAGCTGATCCACCTCCCCCTATAGGAATATGACGCCTATCACTGTACACATATATAAGCTCCTTCAGTATTATCAGCAGCTATCACGTTTCTCAGGAGCTCATTACCCTCCCCAGCTCCACTCGTCAGTCAGGACTTGACATTCTGATTCCCCAAGAATCTGAATAAATTCTCGAATTATATTGTACTTTAAATTTTGAAATAATCTGCAAAACATTTATGTTGGTTCTGTTCTGTTTACCCCAAGGGGGTTATTGCTGCTCCTATCCATGCTAGGCTTTAACAAATTTTTAGTGTGGGCAAAAATCTAAATGAACGTCATGAAACAATTTAATCGCATCAAACGTGTTCAGATTAGAACTGCTGTATTCCTGCAGCTGAACCACAGCCGTGAGGATATCAGGAAACATCCTCACTCTCACTTGCGCTAACAGTAGCATGCAGTGTAAGCCTGAATGGAAGAAATATAGGGGGAATTAAATAAATAAAATATTAAAGAGGTGAATGAAATATTACAGATAATATATTGGTATTTATTGTGATCAACAATTATATTCTAGCCTCTGTTATAGACCATTTGGGGGGTTTTGTCACCACCGTCACACGGTATGTCACCACCGTCAGATAGAAAACCTGACGGTGGTGACGTCTGACGGTGGTGACAAAACCTACTCTTTCACATGATATGCATGAGTTGTTCACATTATAGCCATCTTGTTTCCCCTCTGTTGCTAGCTACTTCAGACCTCTTCTTAAAAAGTATACAATTATGTCATAATCTAATCTAATATTTTCTATACAAAGTGACGGTGTTGACATGTTATGGTTGTGACAGTAGCAGTGCCCAAATATATGAACAAGTTTAAGAGAAAATAGCAAAATTACGGGAGCTTGAGTGATCTTGAAGCATGCTGTAAAGCTGAAGGTTTGAAAATGGGGTATGGAGGAATGTAGTTTGACCTTGTAGTTGCCTGATTTTATTACTTTTTATAAATATCTGACGGTGGTGAC